GATCAGCAGCTGACCCAGGATCAGCAGCTGACCCAGGATCAGCAGCTACACCAAACACCTGAGCTTCTTCGTGGCAGCCACACCGGACCTATGGTGACAAAATTAAATAAATCATGAAATAAATAATTAAATTGTGTATTTAATTATGTATTTAATAATTAAATGATACATTTCATGATTATGTATTTATTTAATTTTGTCACATTCCGTCCTCCACACACAGGCAACAAGTAAACCATTCACTAAAACCCAAAAAGTTAAGTCATCTGGACGAATTTTACTTATAATAATTTTTATTTGAAGGCATTCAGTGACTCCATACAAAATATAATATAAAATACAGTAAGAGTAAAACAACAAATGGGAAAATAAATTTTCAGAAATAGTATAACTTAAATATGGGGGTTAAAGTGAGAGTTTTGATTCAAGATTTGAAAATGAACGTGGTTGGAGTTTTTGATGTCCAGGGGAAGAGTCCCAGAGGTGAGGTGCTGCTGAGAATGTTGTCGTTCACGAACGATTCGTTGAAATGAACAAATCTTTTGAGTGAACGAACTGAACCGAATCACTTCATTAACTGATTCGTTCCTTTCTCAGTTCAGTTGAGCTCAGCGCGATAGTGTAGGTTGGGAGCTTATTTATTTATTTTTTAATCAACATTACAAACGTGTCTGTCAGGGGTATGTTTACAGGTACAAAAGTAATAGTATACAAGTATAAAAAAGAACAATATATAAAATGGTAAAAAAGTCTAAAGAGATGTTCAGGTCGGGAGAGCAACTTCCACTCGACTCGTGCATGACGTGAATCAGAACGACACAGCGGTGTGTGCCGTGTGGGCAGGGAGGGACTGTTGTTGATGTGAATGTGACTTTTTGTTCACTACAAATAAACAACATGTATCACTCAATTCAGTTCAATTCAGTTTATTTATACAGCGCCAAGTCACAGAAGTTATCTCAGGGCACTGAACAAATACATTCATAAAAATTCAATTAGTAATATTATTTATCTAAGATATTGTAGCGTAACAGCAGATTGCGTTGAGTCTTCATTTTGTCGCAATCTCCCATCCTGAGCAAGCACAAGGCAACAGTGGGAAGGAAAAACTCCCTTTTAACAGGAGGAAACCTCCAGCAGAACCAGGCTCAGGACAAGCCGCCATCTGCTACGACCGGCTGGGTTGGAGAGGACAGGAAGGACAAACGGACACAGAATGGCAGGTCCAGAATGTTGACTCGGTGAACGAAACACTCTGACTCTCCTGAGTGATTCTAACCGTTTTCTCTTTGTGAGGAAATGCTCTCATGCCATTGGCAATGGCATCTGTTTCTTCAAGCTAACAGCTAATGTTGAGTCAAGCCACTTGAAAATAAACGCACACACGCCCCATCCCCATTATCTTAACAAACTTTAAGGAACATAAAGTAATGAGAGGAGACAGAAGAGGAGCGAGTGACACTCAGCAGGGCAAGCTGCAGCAGCAACTGCAAATATTGGTCTGTGTGGGTGACGGAGGTTTACCATCACCCTCTGGAGCACAAGTTAGGAGTCATCAGGACTCTGTACCACAGAGCAGACGGCGTCCCCACTAACTCAGGAGCCAGGCAGAAGGAGAAATCCTACACAAGACAGGCTCTAGAGCAATGTGGATATCCTAACTGGGCCTTCCTGAAAGCAGAGAAGAAACCCAAACAGGATTCCAGTCAGAAAAGGAGGAACCCAGACCCAGACCAGTGGTCATTCCATATGTTGAGGGAGTATCAGAGAAACTGAGACGTTTATTTTCTAAATATAACGTCCCAGTGGCTTTTAAACCCCAAAATACATTACGGCAAAGACTGGTTCATCCCAAAGATCCAGTCCCCCGGCACAAACAGAGTAATGTTGTGCATGCTGTTCAGTGTCAGGAGGGTGATCAGTCTTACATCGGGGAAACTAAACAGCCACTGGCCAAAAGGATGGCCCAGCACAGAAGATCGTCATCATCTGGCCAGGACTCTGCGGTCTACACCCATCTCCAGGCCAGCGGTCACTCTTTCAGGGATGAAGATGTTCACATCCTGGACAAAGAGGAACGATGGTTTGAGAGAGGAGTAAAGGAGGCCATCTTTGTTGGGAATTTGTCCAACATTAAATGGGCGGAGGTCTCCATGTCCAACTGTCCACCTCTTACAATGCTGTTATTGCAAGTATTTTTCAGCCTTCTGTGAATAGCAATTGGCCATCAGGACACTAATGATCAATTGATAGGCTGATGGTCCTCAACAAAGTCCACTTTGTCATGTGAACAGCTAGTTCTGGATGTCAACAACAAAGTGGTTGATCCACTATGAGAAGGTGATGAGTTTGTTGCAGCTCCTCAGTCTGAAGAAGTCTTTTGGGTAAAAGACAAAATGTTTCAACTAATAAGAATCCGTCCAGAGGACCTGATTTAACTACCTGGACTATTGAACATGCATCAGGATAAATTAAAGACCCCATTTCCAAACTGAATCTGCATCTGTACCTGCTTTATGTTTTGATGTTTTAAAATGATAAAGATGATTTATTTGTATAGAGCGACTCATAATCCTGCTCTACACCTCAGGTGGTGTACAATGTGGGCCTCTGTATCTGCCTGTATGATATCACCAAACTGGAAGACTCTTTCATCTTCCCAGGAGATGGCGCCTCACACACTAAAGGTATGACAGTGAGAATGTAAGCAAGACGATGAATGGGCATCAATTTAGTTAATTTACCTCAATGACTACAATCAAAACTGTTTCTCATTGATTGTAAATGAATTCTATGATCTCAGTTTTCCTTTGGTCTTTTTTTTTCTTGTCAGTTCATTTCAGGTATGTTGTTTTCCACCCGTTCCTTGACGAGATCCTCATCGGTAAAATCAAGTACTGCAGTCAGGAGGGAGTTCACGGTAACTTCTAGCTGCTGCTTTCAGATCTAACGGTGCATCTAAAAAAAATTAGAATATTTTGAAAAAGTTAAATTTTTCTTGTCAATCATTTGAGAAAATGAACTCATATATTACATGGATTCATTACACATAGAGTGAAATATTTCAAGCCTTTATTTCTTATAGTTTTGATGATTATGGTTTACGGACAATCTCAGTGTCTCAGAAAGTGAGAATATTCCACAGTCAGCTTCTGGTACCTGTGGGCAGGAGCCAAGTCCTGCTGGAAAATGAAATCAGCATCTCTATAAAGCTGGTCAGCAGAAGGAAGCATGAAGTCTCTATAAAATGTCCTTGTAGATGCTACGTTGACTGTGGACTTCAAACACAGTGGACCAACACCAGCAGAGGACACGGACCCAAACCATCACTGACTGTGGAAACTTCAAGCAACATGGGCTTGGATTGTGGACCTCTCCACTCTTCCTCCAGACTCTGGGACCTTGATGTCCAAATGACATGAAAATTTACTTTCATCTGAAAAGAGGACATTGGAGCACTGAGCAACTGTCCAATTATTTTTGTCCTCAGCAGGTAAGATGCTTCTGATGTCTCTGTTTCAGGAGTGGCCTGATGAGGAATGAGACATTTGTAGCTCATGTCTGGAGTTAATCAGCTGAATAAGGTTTGACACCAGGTGTTTCCAATATCAAACCTCTTCACAATACAGTAGTTCCTGGTTTATCGCGGGAGATCTGTATGTCATGATTTCAGCTCCCTGCCTCCTCTGGTCTTTGCCACCTGCAAGCGCTCTTGGCCACGCCCACTTCTCTGCTCTGCACGCAGAACAGCTGTTCAGCTGCAAGTTTATCCTGTAGCAGTATGAGCTGCACAACTGTGCAGGAGGTGCTAAATAATTTTAAATAAAAATACCATGCCGATCGTGCGGCTCATCCATCAATCAGCCAATTGTGTGTCATGTCCAATCTTTTTTTTTAAAAACTGACAGAGCGAATCTGCGATAAAAAGAACCGCGAAGTAGCGAGGGACTACTGTATTCTGATTTTCTGAGACACTGAGTTTTATTTGTTCATTCTCTGTAAGCCATAATTATCAAAACTAAAAGAAGTAAAGTCTTGGAACTATTTCACTCTGTGCATAATGAATTTGCAAGATATTAGTTTTACTGTCTGAAATGATTGACAAATAAAATTGAACTTTTCCACAATATTCTAAATTTTAGATGCACGCGCACAATAAAATGTGGATTCAGCTCTTCAACATGATTATTCTAACTTTTGGTAGCATGTACATATAGTTCTTCAGAAAAAATTGTCCTTTGTCAAGTTAAAATGTCTTCAAAGGCCTTCTTAGTCTGAATTAAAATCATCTGATGCATGAAGTAGCATTTCCTTAAAGTATATAGGACACCACAAGTTCAAATTCAAGTAGGCTTTATTGTAATTCACGTTGCATGTGGTACATGAGGTGGAATGAAATTGTGTACACAGGGTCCCAGTTACATCCAACAATAGCAAAAATATACTGTAATTTGTAAAAAAAGAAACGGTAAATAAGGATATAAAATAAAAACTAAAAAATATGCTAAGCACTAATAGTGCAAAACAATACACAGAACAACAGCAGCCCGAACATGAGTCTGTGCGAGTACCGGTGGATGAGTACGAATGAATGCAGCAACATGAAATAATCAGCATGAGATCAGCAGCATGGATAATAAGCAGCGCATATCACCAAAGTGCCATTACAGTCATTTTTCACAGTGATTATCCTGGTTAGAGATTCATGAGTCTTAACAGCTCAGGGTAGAAGCTGTTCCTCAGTCTAGTGGTTCTACACTTAGGTCGTTTTCACACCAGATAGTCCGGTAGACTCGGTTCGGGACCAATATTCATGACCTTTTGTTTACATTTGAGCTGGTGCGTTTGCATTCACACTGCACTGTGCAGTCAGTCAACCTGTTGAAACAACCTGTTCCCCCACTCGCCTGTGGGGGCGCTGAACCAAGAACTACTGAAAGAAACGACACAAAAACCTCTGAAGACACATCTTCTTCTTCTTCTTCTGTAAATAAAAATAAAAACGAAGTGGCATCAAGTTTTAGCAGTTTTAGGAGTTATATTTTGTCATTTTTCAAAAATGGACTTAGCATGAGCAGAAGATGAGACAGAAGACCATGGAGAATATTGTTTTTCCACACAAGGCAGCTGACGGCTCCATATAAGGTCAGAAAAATGCGTGTTTGTTTACCCTGCGTAGCGGGGCCTGGTCTATTTACATTCACACTGTACTCGAACCGCGCTGGAGTTCGCTTCTACCGGACCGAGACCTAGGTTTTAGCCCGGGCCAGAGTTCGCCTTTTTGTTCCGTGACAGAGTTCGATGGCGCGTTCACACCTCCCCAAATGAACCGGACTTTCTAGGAAAACGAGCTAGAGTTCGATTAAAGCGGACTAAACAGGGCTAGTGTGAATGCACCCTTAATGCTCCTCAACCTCCTTCCTGAGGGGAGCGGGGCAAAAACTGTGTGTGCTGGGTGAGTGGAGTCCTTCATGATGCAGGCGGCCCTCTTCCTGCATCTGGAGGTGTAGATGTCTGTGATGGTGGGGAGACTGACTCCAACAGACTTCTGTGCAGCCTCCATGCCACATGTTGATGTTGGAGCACAGGATGCTCTCCACTGCACACCTGTAGAAGGAGGTGAGGACTGAGCTTCCCAGACCAGCTCGTCTCAGCCACCTGAGGAAGTAGAGTCTCTGATGAGCTTTCTTGATCTGGCTGGTGGTGTTGTTGCCCCAGCTGAGAATGTCGTTCAGGTGCACACCCAAGTACTTGTAGCTGGAGACCACTTCCACCGCAGATTCTCCTATGTTCGGGGGGGGGTAGGTGTTTTTGTTCCATCTGAAGTCCATGACCATCTCCTTCGTCTTCTTCACATTGATAAGATGGTTATTCTTCCTGTACCAGCTCTCCATGTGTTCCACCTCCTGCCTGTAGCTGGACTCATCATTGTTTGTGATGCATCCCACCACCGCGGTATCATCTGCAAACTTTACAATGACAGTCTGGATGGGTAGCTCCACAATCATACATGAGCAGAGTGAATAGGAGGGGGCTCAACACAAAGCCCTGACGGGAGCCTGTGCTGAGGGTTATGGTGGAGGAGGAGAAGTTGTGGATCCTCACAGACTGCAGTCTAAGAAGTCTAGGAATCAGTTGCATAGGGAGGGGCTTAGTCCTAGTGTGTGTAGTTTGTCCATCAGGGTTTGGGGGATCATGGTGTTGAAGGCAGATGTGAAGTCCACAAAGAGCATATGGACGTAAGAGTCCTCCTGCTCCAAGTGGGTGAGCGCAATGTGGACCACAGAGGAGATGGCATCCTCTGTTGATCGATTCTTGCAGTATGCATACTGGTGAGGGTCCTTGCTGATGTTGATGGTTGTTTTGATGTGAGTCATGACCAGTCTTTCAAAGCATTTAGCGACTATTGGGGTGAGGACTACTGGCTGGTAGTCATTCAGACCAGTTGCTGCAGAATTGCAGAATGGGATGATGGTGGCAGTCTTCAGGCAGGTGGGAACTGTTGCCAGGGTGAGGGAGGAGTTAAAGATGTCGTCCAGCACCTCGCAGAGCTGATCGGCACAGTCATTCAGCACCTTCTGCGGGTTGTTATCTGGTCCAGTGGTTTTGTGATATCACCACTTGCTCCTGCCAAGATCGGATGCTTCTCCCTTCCCTCTCTGCTTTGTTTTGCTGCTCTGTCTGTCTGTGAAACTGCTTGTGAGACTCTTGCATTTCTTCTGAACCATAATTATGGACTTTTTGATCAGTTGGTCCCTCAACTCAATTTACAACATTTCTTTGAAGAGAAGACAGGCTTTAGGTGAGCCTATTTGCCCTGTTAGCACGCACGCAGCTGGATGTCTCATTAACTGGAAGACTTGATGATGTGTCTATCTCTGCTGCCATTTGTGGATTTTAAAGACACATATTTAATTGTATTTTCGATAACTGGTTCCTGCTTTTTGGATTCAGCTGGTTGCTGGTTTTATCTAAAATGAAGGAAGTTGTCGGCAGCAAATTTGGACCCGATCACGCTGCTTGCCTTTATGATGGCTTGGTTCGTGTCTCGAGTACCCGGACTCAAATGCTTTGGGCAGAATGGATCAGATCTTGGGGATTTTACTCAGGCATGTTCCTTCGGTGTGGCCATGTAATTTGGACATTTCGGAACCGAGTGGATCAACACAGACTCAAGGTAGATGTCATTAAGTTCTGCCTGTCCCCAAAACATCTGTGTGGTTATCTAAATTTGGCTCCCTTGGCTGGTCTTGAAGGTCATCTTATCATAATTCACCTGGAGAACCTGTGATCTGACACTCACCACCCCCTCCCTTAGGAATTTCCAACTGATAACCAGATGAAACCAGCTGAATAAACTTTGTGTCATCATTTTAGGACTCTTAGATTCTCATAGACGTTATTCTTGGCCATTCCTCGACATACCTCGAGAATGTTTACGGATCTCACCGGAGGACATTGACTGATTATTACATCCTATCAGAACTCTTACAGTGACCTCGAGAGCATCTATGAACATGCTCGTCGCTCTCGGCTCCCCCCTCTGCAGAATGTCTATGTCACTATGTGCTTGTTTGTGCGAGGTGTTTTTTTAATATTAGTTTTTTTTTCTCAGGCAGGAAAAAAAGTCTGATAGGAATTTTTTCGCCTCCAACTCCTACATGTGTCCAGTTAACCACTGTTTTTGTCTGTCCAAACAGGTCTCACTTGTAAATGAGTAGTTTAGGCTCAATGTGATTTATCTGTTTAAATAAAGGTTGAATGAATGTGAGAATTAATCTTCCTGAAGGTACTCCTTACTTCTGCTGAGGTCACGCTGAGAAACTCCTCTTCCAGTGGCGAAGTGAGTCTAGTGCTGGGTGGTCTGTTCGAGTCTTCAAAGCTTTCATAGAACTTGAGGACATCAGGCAGTGATCCCTAGGGCATTGTGCACCCCTGCTTTTATAGTCCGTTATGCACTTAATGCCGTTCCGAGGGTCTTGTGAGGAGAAATGTCCCTGCTTCCTTTGTGCATATGTTGCTTTGGCCCTCTTTATACCAGCAGCCAGCCCTTTCCTTGTCCTCCCCAGTTCCTTTGAGTTGCTGTCCATGTTGGATGTCAATGTTTTAAACAAAGAACTTGCATGTTTATTAGGAGTATGTGTTGAGGATCACTCTCAGGTTCTAACACTTAAGTTTTAGCTCAGTATATGGTGTTTGTTGAGGTCACGTATATCCATTTTGGTGGCCATTTTGAATATGTTTGGTTAGTTGTAGATCTACAAATCCAATGATTACAACTTGTGAGTTTCATTCAAATACACACAGTAGTTAGAGATATTTTACTAACTCATGCAGCTAGTTATATAATTGCTTGTTTTTCATAGTGCTGGGAAATAATAATTGGTTGACAAATTGTGTATTAAAAATATATGTTTGAGTAGTTGGATGTTTATTTTGTTTGGTTTAAATATGAACAGTCACCTCTGAGTAAATGTGTAGGGAATTGGTCAAAGTGTACAAATTATATTTTGTTCCATGCATGTTTTTTTTTTTTTTTTCACTGTAAACATTAAAGTTTTAAAAACTTTGTATGCTTGATTGATGCAGATATTTGAAAGTCTGCGAGCAGGAGTCATGCTTTGATTTGTAAACTCTGCTTCACAGTGACGATGGGCTTCTTTGACGACATCCTCATCCCGCCAGAGTCTCTTCAGCAGCCCGCAAAGTTGTATCCTGATTTCTCACATTAAGAACAGGAGACTTGTTTCTGCTCTGTAATGTGCTGGATCTGTGGGTGGAATTACTTGGAATTGATTGTGGTTCAAGTAGAGCCTTCCTTAGCTGCTGCTTCAGTGACGAAGCAGAGCAAGTATGGGTCTGGGAGTACGAGACGGATGAGGGGGCACACGACCTCTACATGGACCAAGGAGAAGAGATACGGTTTCGGGTAGCAGATGAAGTCTTTGTGGACACGTCGCCAACGGGCCCGACTGCTCCAGCTACTGACACATCGGCACAGCCAGGACAATCCACAGCACCGCAGGCAGAGGAGAGCGGGGAGAAGAAGGAGGCACCATACACTCTGATTGTGAGTCATTCAACTACATCTTTAATTCAGCTCACAAATATACATATTCAAAATGCTGGGATTGAAATCGGAACACTGAGCTCAGGTCGAGGTTGTTGTTAACCAATATACAATATGGCAATAGGACTGATAACTAGGATATTTTTTACTGCGGGCAGCACGGTGACGCAACTGGCAGAGCTGCTGCCTCTCAGCAAGCAGATTACCCTGGTTCAAGTACCAATCCAGGGGCCTTTCTGGATGGAGTTTGCATGTTCTCTCCATGCATGTGTGGGTTTTCTCTGGGTACTCCGGTTTCCTCCCACAGACCAAAAATGTGCATGTTCGGCTGATTGGTGACCCTAAATTGTCTCTAGGTATGAGTGAGAGAGTGAAAGGTTGTTTGTCTCTTTTGTCTCTGTGTCCCTGTGATGGACTGGAAACCTGTCCAAAGTGTCCCCCACCTCTCGCACGGTTATTGCTATACATGGGCACCGGCGACACCCATGACTCAAAAAGGAAGAAGTGGGTAAAGATAGTGGATGGATGGATATTTTTACTGCACGTAACTGCAGGGGGATGTAGCAGATAAAAGTTCAACATCAACTCAAACAGTTGAGATGTTCTAAGAAATGTAAACAAAAGCAGATTGGGTTGATGAGATTTAAAAAATTTTAAAGTTTTAAATATAATAATAATGTGTTATGTATTGTCAATATTGTATGTTCCCATACAATGGTGAAATTGGCTCTCTACATTTAACCCATCCACCACCAAGTGGAGCAGTGGGCAGCTACCTGGTGATCAACTGAGGATAAGGTGTCCTGCTCAGAGACACCATGAGATGTGCAATGACCGGGGATCGAACCCAGGACCTTCGGGTCCCGAGTTGGCTGCCCTGCCCCTACACCATCACGGCTCCTCCAGCTGGTTTATTAGTACCACTTAGTTTTACAACTTTTTGTTGCCCCCCCTCCACACTTTTATTATTATTATTTTTTAGATAAGATAAGATAAGATAAGATGGAACTTTATTGATCCCACAGGAAATTGTTGTGCCAGTGTTTCAGTACAAAGGAACAAACACACGGAATCACACGAGATCTAAAAAAAATAAGAGAGAATATAAAAATGCCAACAATTAAATTCTAAACAGGTGCAGACAGAAAAATTAGTGTTTATTGTGGTGTAAGATTAATTTTATTGTCCTCTGTGCAGAAAGGGGGGGGGGGGGGTTAAAAAGTTTGATAGCCACAGGGAGAAAGGACTTCCTGTGTTGTTCTGTGGAGCATCTCGTGGTCTCAGTCTACGACTGAAGGTGCTGCGGTAAGAGTCCAATGTGTCATGCAGGGGGTGTGACGTGTTGTTCAGAATCTGGAGCAGTTTCCTCAGCATCCTCTGCTCAGACACGTCTGTCAGAGACTGCAGGTCCACTCCCAGAACTGAACTAGCTCTCTTGATGAGTTTGAGTCTGTTGGCATCAGCTTTCTTCACCCTGCTGCCCCAGCACACCACAGCGTAGAAGATGCTGGAGACCACCGAGTGGTAAAACATCTGCAGACGTTAAAAGACCTGAGTCTCCTCAGAAGAAAAAGGCAACTGCCCTTTCTTGTAGAGGGCGTTGGTGTTAGCAGTCCAGTTTATTGTCTAGGTGGACCCCCAGGTACTTGTGGCAGTCCACAGTGTCCACCTTAGTACCCTTGATGTTGATAGGGTTGGAGGGGGCGGGGGGGCTGATCTTCTTCCTGTAGTTCACCTGCAGCTCTTTAGTTTTTTACAACATTGAGTTGCAGGTGGTTCTGTCCACCACACCTATGTATTCAGCTTCCTGGTCACCAGTGATGCAGCCCACAATGGCAGAGTCATCCAAGAACTTCTGCAGATGGCAGGAGTGTGAGTTGTACCTGAAGTCCGAGGTGTAGAGGGTGAACAGAAACGGTGAAAGGACCGTCCCGAGGAACCCCTGTGTTGCTCAGTATGGTGTCCGAGGTGGGTGTTCTGCAGCCTCACATACTTTAGTCTCCGATCCAGGTGACCAGCGAGTCATTCACCTGCATTCATTTTATGTTTTTACTGAGTTCCATTGTGAATACTGTAGTCCCTCGATACTTCGCGGTTCGACTTTTGTGGACTCACTCTTTCACGGGTTTTCAACATATGGTTGTACATGACATACGATTGTCAGCTTTATTATTACTCACAGGATTGGGACAGTACGGGATAAAAAATTAACGGGATCGGATGGGAGTGGGAACCAACCAATGGCATCAAAAACAAAACAAAGCAAAAAAAATACTTCAGATAGGTGCCACCATTTTGTAGTTTTCTTTCAATAAACCTACACTGTAACACAAGTTAAAAGAACTACATGGCCCAGAAGCCAACAGTGCTTCTGGCCACTGCTTTCTGCCAAAATTCAAAGAACAGCAATGGAGTGAACAAACACTAGCAGAGAAATCATATCTATTAAGCTCACAAAACTGGCAGGAAAGTTGCAAATAATCCTGAAACTGAACTCATCCTTCAAGTTATTGTAGTATCTTCACTGGTGAGCACCTACATAAAATTTTGCAGTACTGTACAGTACATATACATATGTTGTTAAAATTATGTAGATTTAAGAGTTTAGAACATTGTTAAGAACATTGCAAGAATGTGGAAAGGGTTTATAAAGCCTTAATATATATATATATATATACTAAAATAAGTATAACGGCTCTACTTTGTGGATTTTCACCTATCGCCGGGGTGTCTGGAACTTAACCCCTGTAATAAGTGAGGGACTACTGTACACCAAGTTAGTTAAACAAAGGAATGTGTGTAACGGTTGTGTTCTAGTATCGAGATTATTAGAACAAACGAAGAGTGATTCCGAAAACTTTTTATGGACAAAACAAATCAAGGAACTCTTGTGTTCCTTGCCCGGACGGGGGGTTACTAGGGCCCCACCCCGAATCCAGGCCTGGGGGAGGGGCTCGTTGACGAGCACCTGGTGACCGGGTCTCTACCCATGGGGCCCGGTCAGGCTCAGCCCAAAGGAGCAACATGGGTTTGCCTTCCTGTAGGCCCACCACCTGCAGGAGGGGCCATAAAATTTAGATGCATGACGATATGGGCAATGGCTGAAGGCGGGGGCCTTGGCACTCCGACCTTGGCTTACCAAAGCTGGCTCTTGGAACATGGAACATAACCACTTTGGTGGGAAAGGAGCTTGAGCGTGAGGTTGAGAGGTACCGACTAGAAATAGTTGGGCTCACCTCGACCTGGACCTTATGCCATTATGGAGTTGCCCATGGTGAGAGGCTGGTGTGGGTCTATGTTTAGCCCCCTGACTTGGTGCCTGCATGTTGGAGTTTTCCCCGATGGATGAGTGGCTTCCCTGCTCCTTTGGGTGGGGGGATGGGCTCTGACTGTTTGTGCCTATGCACCAAATGGCAGTTCAGAGTATCCGGCTTTCTTGGAGTCCTTGGCGGGGGTGCTGGAAGTTGTGCCAGCTGGGGACTCCTTTATTCTGCTGTGGGAATTCAGTGTCGACTTGGGTAATGACAGTGTGACCTGGAGGGGAATGATTGTTAGGAACGGTCTCTGATCTGAACCCGAGCAGTATTCTGTTGTTGGACTTCTGTGCTAGTCATAGTTTGTCCATCACAAACACCATGTTTGAACATAAGGGTGTCCATAAGTGCACTTGGCACCAGGATGCTCTAGGTCGTAGATAGATTAATGATTTTGTAGTTGTCGTCTGATTTGCGGCCGTTTTGTTCTGGATACTTGGGTGAAGACAGGAGCTGATCTGTCAACCACCACCTCGTAGTGAGTTGGATCAGATGCCAGACAGACCTGGTAAACCCAAACGTATAGTGAGAGTTTGCTGGGAACACCTGGCAGAAGAACCCGTCAGAAAGAAAGAAGGAATACTTCTCAGAACTTCTCAATCCCACCAGCATGTCTTCCATGGAGGAAGCTGAGTCAGGGGGCTTCGGGGTTGGTTTGTTCATAACCATGGCTGAGGTTGCCGATGTAGTTAAAAAGCTTTGAGGCGGCAGGGTTCCGGGGTGAATGAGATTCGCCCTGATTTCCTTAAGGCTCTGGATGTTGCGAGGCTGTCTTGGTTGACATGCCTTTGCAACATGGTGTGGACATAAGGGTCAGTGCCACTGGATTTGCAGATTGGGGTGGTGGTTCCCCTCTTCAAAAAATGGTGACTGGAGGGTGTGCTCCAATTATAGGGGCTTCACTCTCCTTAGCCTCCCTGGTAAGGTCTATTCGGGGGTACTGGAGAAGCGAGTCCGATCGTTGGTTGAACCTCAGATCCAGGAGGAACAATGCGGGTTCCGTGCTTGCCATGGAACACTGGATCAGCTCTTTACCCTCACTAGGGTCCTCAAGAGGTCATGGGAGTTTGCCCATCCAGTCTACATGTGTTTTGTGGACTTAGAGAAGGCTTTTGACCGTGTTCCTCGAGGTACACTGTGGGGGGTGTTCCTTGAGAATGGGATTGAGAGCCCGATGCTACGGGCTGTTCAGTCCCTATACAAGCGGTGCGAGAGTTTGGTTCGCATTGCCAACAGTTGGTCAAACCCCTTCAGGGTGGGAGTTTGACTTCGCCAGGGCTGCCCATTGTCACCAATTCTGTTCATAGCTTTTATGGACAGAATTTCTTGGTGCAGCCAGCGGGCGGACGGAGTCCAGTTCGGTGGCCTCGGGATTTTTTTTTTCTCTGCTATTTGTGGATGATGTGGTCCTGTTGGTGTCTTGCCGTGATCTTCAGCTCTCACTGGAGCGGTTCGCAGACGAGTGTGAAGCGACTGGGATGAGAATCAGTACCTCCAAATCTGAGGCCATGGTCTTCATTTGGAAAAGGGTGGATTGCTCTCTTTGGGTCGAGGGTGAGATTCTGTCTCAAGTGGAGGAGTTAGAACAGTAACTACAGAGCCTGTGCAGCTTACTTCAGAGTATCCTCTTTATTCAATGTTTTACAGCTAAGCTCTCTTTACAGTGTTTGTTATAAATCTTGTTAGAAGTGGATATTTTCCCATTAAAATTAGCAAACAGTTGTCTAATGCTCAGGATTGGGCTGTAGAAATCATCAGGGGAAATGGTCTTATTTAAAAGCAAAAACAACTCAGACCTTTTGTGAAGAGGCTAAAACTTGGCTGTTTAAAGGGTTTATAAGTAGTAACAAGGTTTCTGGCATCATCTTGTCTTTTCATCTATTGCTATCCTGAAGGTTCCTGTGCTGACTGAGTCCTGAGCAAGTCACTCAGACTCATTTTGACATGTAGCGTGGTGGGACAAACAGCAGACAGAGGAATTGTGTTGCCATGTTTGCAGCAACTCTTAACTGTGAGCAGTTTATTGCATAAACTCCCTCCACAAGTGGAGGAAAGACAGGCTGCAGGTCGCTTTTCAAATACTTAAAGAGAGTTGGTGCCATTATCAGAAAGCAGTAAAAGCTGCTAAATCCAAATACTTTTCTGATATCATAACGTCAAACTCTCACAACCCACGTGTCCTCTTCTCTACCCTAAACTCGGTTTTCCACCACACTGAACCATCACCTCTGGAAGCCTCGACTGAGCTGTGCGAGAACTTCTTACATTTCTTTTTGGAAAAAATTGCGACCACCCGGGCTCTCATTTCCCCTCCCAACTCATGACCCATACATCCCACCTCAATCTGTAGCTCTATTTGACCATTTTGAACCCATCACTCTTATCTTCTCTAGAGCAGGTCATGTGCAGCTTGAAACCTTCTGGTTCCCCCTTTGATGTGGTCCCCCCTCGACTACTAAAGGAGGTTTTTCCTACTCTAGGTCCGTCCATTCTGGCTATAGTAAACAGTAGTTTATCCACTGGCGTGGTGCCAAAAACCTTTAAACCTGCTGCTGTCCAGCCTCTCCTGAAAAAACCAAACCTTGACCCCTCAGTCATTTCCAACTTCCGGTCTGTCTCAAAACTCCCATTTGTTTCTAAAATACTGGAGAAAACAGTTGAGTCCCAGTTGAAGTGCTTCCTGGAGGATCATGCCATCTTAGATCTATTCCAATCTGGCTTTAAACCTCTCCACAGCACTGAAACTGCCCTATTGAAGGTTTTTAATGACATCTTCAGATCCACAGATACTGGTGATTCTGTGCTGCTTGTCCTGTTGGACCTCACAGCCGCCTTTGACACCATCGACCATGAGATCCTCATTGCTAGGTTGGAGCAGTGGGTGGGCATCACAGGGTCAGCCCTCAATTGGTTCAGATCCTACCTCACTGATGGATCCTTTTGTGTCTCCATCAAGGATTTTAGTTCCGCAGAGGCAGAGCTTAAATGGGGGGTTCTGCAGGGGTCCATCCTGGGTCCCCTCCTATTCTCTCTATACCTGCTGCCACTTGGTGCTATTTTCCAGAAATGCAACATGCCATTTCACTTCTATGCCGACAACTGTCAAATTTACTTCCCCCAAGACACAATGGTACATGCTCTTTTCAACCTCTGCTCGACTGCCTGGCTGACATCAGGGACTGGATGGCTTTAAACTTCTTAAGTTTCAATGAAAAGAAGTCTGAAGTCATGTTGTTCCCTCCCATTGACACGATCCCAAACCACTGCATCGACCTTTCCACTCTAACCCTGTCAGAAAAACAAAGAGTCACTAATCTGGGAGTGATAATGGACCCTTCCCTGAAACTTAACAATCATGTAAACATGATTGTTAAATCATGTTTTTTCCAAATGAGGCGGCTGTCTAAACTGAAGCCCATATTGTCCAAAAATAACCTGGAGACAGTAATACATGCATTCATTATGTCCAGGCTTGATTACTGCAATTCACTCCTGTTTGGTATCAGTCAAACCTCCATTGCACGACTACAACTGGTCCAGAATGCAGCAGCCCGGTTTTTAACCAGTACAGGCAAAAGGGAGCACATTACACCAGTTTTGGCCTCACTGCACTGGTTACCCGTTCACTTTCGAATCCAGTTCAAAATACTCCTGTACATCTACAAATCACTGAACAGTTTTGCCCCCCCCCCCCCCCCCACATCTCTCTGATCTGCTACAACCGTATGTCCCACCACGTTCCATGAGGTCAGCAGACCAGTTGCTCCTCACAGTTCCAGGAACTCGTTTTAAGCGCAGAGGTGACAGGGCCTTCTCTGTAGCAGGACCAAGACTTTGGAACGAGTTGCCGCTGCTCGTCAGTCTGGCCCCCTCCCTCTCTGTTTTCAAATCCCATTTAAAAACTCACTACTATTCAGTAGCTTTCAACACCAGATGATCTGTGTTTTGAACCTGTATGCTCCACACTGGTTAGTCGTCATATTTATTATCTGCATCGTTTTTATGTCTATATTTTTGACTTACTTCATTTTGTATTTTGCTTCGTGTGTTGTCTGTTGTTCTGTCTGTACAGCACTTTGGTTGGCCTTGTCGCTGTTTTAAGTGCTCTATAAATAAAATGGTATGGCATGGTATAAATCAACCTGATCCACTTTTCTTTTATTTTGGTTACTTCAGGGGACCATCTGTGATCCCGGACTGGGGCTGCTGTCGTGGTGGAACAGCTAGCAACACAGAGGAAGAAAAGATTGTTTTGTGTGTCTGTAAACAGATGGACTTCTGCAACTGCTCCGAGACATGAGGGACAGTCAGCAGAGGACAGTGTCCTGACACAAAGAAGTGTAGACGATACAGACTGTGATTGAAACATGAGCCCAAAATACATCAGCTTGGTCATTGCATGTATAATTAGCTTTTATATATATTTTTAAAACCAAATAATGATTTTTATTTTATATATGTCACATGGGAATTTCCAGAAAATAATTAGGTCATTAATCATTTCATTGATAACATTAATGTATTATTACTGGCTCAGTTTTTGTTCTTCAAAACAGACTTTAAATTTGTGTAACTTGTCAGGGTACATATAAATAAAAGCAACATTACAACAAGAAAAACGTTTTCTTTTTAGACATGTACTGGATCTATTAAATTTATGAGGCTTTACCCAAGATTCTTGTGAGCATACAAAGTTTATTAGGTTGTATTTGTACTATAGTTGTTTTCTGTCTCACATCACAGTAAAAAGTACAAAGATACAAATGTGTTCATTCCTACAAAACTTAATAAAACATTTATAATATACACTGAATTTCAAATGTTACTGAATGAGATTAAAAAGAATAGTAGTTTATGTTTATCAGTTTTTTGTTATAGTGAGTCATTCATTATGCCCCCTTGGGAACTGGAGCCAATCTCAGCTGCTTTGGGTGAAGGCAAGGGACACCCTGGACAGGCCTCCAGTCTGTCCCAGAGACATGGACAAAAAAACAAACAACTATCCACACTCCCAGTCACAGCTAGGGACAAGTTAGTTGCACAGAAGAACCAAAAAGGATTCAAACTGAGTACTCAAGTTCTTGATTGACAGTAAGAGTCTGAGGATCTGCAACTTCACCTTATCTACCATAACCCTCAGCACTGGCTCCCGTCAGGGCTGTGTGTTGAGCCCCCTCCTGTTCACTCTGCTCACATATGACTGCGCACCTACCCATCCTGGCTGTCATATTGTAAAGTTAGCAGACCATACAGCGGTGGTTGGATGCATCAAACAACGATGAGTCCGGCTACAGGCAGGAGGTGGAACACCTGGAGAGCTGATACAAGAACAATCTTCACATCAATGTGAAGAAGACGAAGAAAATGGTTGTGGATTTTAGACAGAACAAACACACCTACCCAGGAGGATCTGTGGTAGAAATGGTTTCCAGCTACAAGTATTTGGGTGTGCACCTGAACAACAACCTTGGCTGGAACAACACCACCGGTGGTCACTCTACCTCCTCAGGCGGCTGAGACGAGCTGGTCTGGGAAGCTCAGTCCTCACCTCCTTCTACAGGTGTGCAGTGGAGAGCATCCTGTGCTCCAACATCGTGTGGCATGGAGGCTGCACAGCTGCAGAAAGAAAAGCTTTGCAAAGATTGGTGAAGGCTGAAGTCAGTCTCCCCACCATCACAGACATTTACACCTCTAGATGCAGGAAGAAGGCCACCTGCATCATGAAGGACCTCACTCACCCAGCACACACACTTTTTGCCCCACCTTGCTCGTGCAGGAGGTTGAGGAGCATTAAGTGTTGTAGGATTAACAGTCCTCAGATAGTTTAATTTTTATGAGTAATTTTATTCTGAAGGGGCACCACTAGCTTCTGGTTCTGAAGCCAGAAAATTATTATTGTTCAATCAGACTCAAGTTTAGTGCTCTAGTGAATTCTTTTCGTATTAAATTAAAAAATGTCATATACAATAAAAACGCTTCGAGTCAAAGTACAATTTTGTGAGATTTATTATAAATTTTGGTGAATATAAGTGATCAAACGGTGAATACAGCTGCAGAATGAAATTATGGCTTTACTTTGACAACACAAGGTTATGGAGTTATCTTTTAAACTTTAATATGGTAAATTATGAGGTTCAAAAGCAGAGTAAATTATCTATAAATTTAACTAAATGAAATATGCAGATGTAATCTGTCAATTTAGGAAAACTTAATTCGAATTAATAATGATGAATTGTTTTAGACTGGACAACTTCTTATCTTGGGCCTCAGACACCAGCAGAGAAAATCTGAGCAGCTTTTTCCTACCGATTGGAGGGTGGTCTGCAATTCAACCGCCCGGAGGGTCACCAGAACTCTTGAGATGAATTCTAGCGCCGAAGGTGGGATTTCCCTCGCCTCTTGAAATCAGCTGAAATCTAGAGTCGAAAGTTGGCTCCCGAGGGGGGTCAGTTGATGAACTCCCGGAGGGCTGCGTTTTCTCCTTCTGGTGGCAAAGATCTTCTGGCAATAACTATCCAATTGTTTGACCTTACTTCTTCAAAACTTCTTCCAGACTGCTCTAAGCCAAAATGTCAGAAATAAATTTCTTTGACTTAGAGGGCGTTACAAGGTGATGGTCGAGCCAATCATGACAGAAGGGTGGACCTTCTTTCAAGTCACTGTTGAACTTTAATAACCTTAATAAAAATATTAAATGACTAATTTACTCTGCTTTGGTAAATTCTCAATATAACAGAATAATCAAACTTCTAAGCAGCTTTTTACTCATCCATAAACATTTTCATTAGAATATCCTGATGCATGCTCAATAATCCAGGTAGAAAAATCCAAAAAAGTTCAATCTGGTCCTCTGGACATTCAAAAAAAAAAAAAAAAAACAAAGCAAAAAAATATAGAAACGTTTCATCTCTCATTCAAGAGACTTCCTCAGTCTGAGGTGCTGTTTTCAGCTCAGTCTCTTAAATAGCACCTTCTCAGAGTGGATCAACCAGTTTGCTGCTGACAACCAAAACCAACTGATCACATGCTCAAGAAGGACCATCAGCCTAACAATGGATCATTAGTACACTGATGACTGTTTACTATTCACAGAGGGCTGAGTGATACTAGCAATCACAGCATTGTAAGAGGGGGACAGTTGAACCCGGAGGCCTCCACCCCTGTTTAATGATGGACGATGATGTTGATATTGATACAACATCAACATCATCAGGCCAGGACTCTGCGGTCTACACTCATCTCCAGGGCAGCGGTCACTCTTTCAAGGATGAAGATGTTCACATCCTGGACAGAGAGCAACGATGGTTTGAGAGAGGAGTAAAGGAGGCCATCTTTGTGAAAAGAAATTGAAGGAAATCAAAGGTAAGGGAGGAAAGCAGGGGACCTAAAATAGAGCCCTGTGGAACCCCAAAAACACAGAGGAGCAGTGGAGGCTTCAGAACCGGCTATGAAACACGCATGGTTTTGTCTGCCAGATAGGACCTAAACCAGCTCTGTGCAGTTCCACAGATACCCACTTGATGCTGTAAGTGTGATATTAAAATGATGTGGTCCACACAGTGTCAAAGGCAGCGGTTTGATTGAGCAGGACAAGAACCACATGTTCACCAGAATCATTGGCCATAAGAACATCATTAAAAACTCTGACTAGAGCTGATTCTGTGCTGTGACGAGTTTTGAAGCCAGACTGAAAAACCTCCAGGATATTGTGCTCATCCAGAAAACATTTGACCTGTGAATGTAGAATTTTTTCTATATTTTATTTTTATAAAAGGCAGCTTGGAGTTGGGTTTAAAATTAGCCAAGACGGTTTGGTCTAGGCTAGACTTTTTAAGCTGGGGCTACACCACCGCATGTTTAAAACTTATTGGGACAACACCTGAGGACAGACTGCTATTGATAACAGCAAGGATCACCTCCCTGATGATGGAAAAAACTTTAAAAAAATGAGGGGGGACAAGGTCACGAGGGGAACCTGCAGGCTTAATATGGCCGACCACATCCCCCAAAAGGGTCAGAGTCACTGATTCAAATCTATCCAACACAGCCAGGCAGGGGACCAAGCAGCAGGGGTCAAACACAGGGGCTGAAATAAGGGCCCTTGTGATAACAACCTTTTTTATAAAAAAACTGCAGGACGTCATTAGAGTTCAGTAGAGGCTTCCAGGCAGACAGGTTGTGGGGCCTTCAGGACAGAGTCAATAGTTTTTAAAAGGCCACATGGATTATTATGATTGGACACAATAATGTCTGACAAGTGTTGTTTTTTTTTTTTTGTTTGGCCTCTTTGACAGTGTTCTGATATTGTCGTTGACAGTCCTTTAAAATTAAACCTCTAGTTTATCTTTTTTCCATCTCCGTTCAGCTCTGCAGCACTCCTGTCTGGCTGCATCTACGACTCTTTGGAAACAAACCTTAGGGACATTTGAGATGCATTAGGAGTGTAGTTCTTCTTTTCCAACAGTTTTAAACTGCAGGGCTAAAAAACAAAACATTTTTACTTTTGAATTACCTGAAGTGAACAAACCTGATGACAACAGCACAGTACCAGCAGTCTGTGGATGTTTGTTGAAGACAACTTCCAGCTCTTCAGTGACAGTTGTGTTGTCTTCATGTAACAGAATGTAGATGTAGCAAATAGTTCAATGTATCAATATTAAATATAAATAAATATACATGTATAAAGCTTTGAATGGCCTTGCACCACTCTATATTTCAGAACTTTTGAAAGTCCACCAGCCCAGCAGAGCTTTACTGTCTGCTGGTCAATATCTGCTGGAGGTGCCACGCTCAAGGTGCAAACACTGGGGGGACTGGTCCTTTTCTGTTGCAGGCCCAACAGCCTGGAATACTCTTCCCTATGAGCTGCGTGCCATCTCTGATCTGGCTCTGTTCAAAGCCAAACTGAAAACATACTTATTTAAAAGGGCTTTTAATGTTTAACTTTTAGTATTTTATTATTTAGTATATATATATATATATATTAATCTCTTTTATCTTCTTTTATTCTGGCTGTGTTTTTAATTTGCACTGATTTATTGTGTCTTGTTTTTATCTTGTTTAATCTTGTAAAGCACCTTGGTCAATGCAAAGCGTTGTTGGAAGGTGCTATAGAAATAAAGTTTATTATTATTATTAATAATATTTGTTTCCTCAGTCAAAGAAACCAGCGTGGCTCTGCTGATGTTGAACATGTTGAAATGGCTTCCTCTGCTGGTGAAAACTGATAATGCATCAACATTTATTTTGACAAAAATGTGAATTCCGCTTTGGTTTAATGTAATTCCGTTTTTTCAAATGTTGTTCATTTACACCTTAGGGCCACCGTACAGGGCCACCGCAGAATTCTGTTTAGAAAAAATCAACACAAGACGCATTGTAACAAATAAATTCATACAGTTTTACAGTGAAGGCATTTTTGAGGATTTTGAAATATTTGTTAGCTTTTCTTCAACTGCACCTGCTTTGGTTTTACCTGCTGCTGCATGTCTCATTGTTAAAGCAATAGTCTGGCCATTTTTGAAGAGTATGATCAGTCACAGAGTCACCATGACCAACACTCATGGTGCCATGGAAATACATTCATATGTATGAGTATATAAACATATGTACACGTGTAAATAACAATTATTTTGTAAGATGAACTGAAACTATGATTCTTATTTTTATTTTTTTACTATTTCATATTTTAATCTGAGGTACAGGGAATGATCATGAACTTGATCTTAACTTCAAATCCAAAATGCATTTGTTTTCTACCCTGTTTTTAAACTGTGTAAATACACATGTATGCAGAAGCATATAAAGAAATTAAACCTGATATAATAAAAACATTTCCTTCCACACAGACAGATTTTACACAGCTGTCTCATTCACTTTACCTGATTATTCTGACAGAAATGTGAAATTCCTGCTAGAACAGACACTAAGAACAGGACATGCTACAGCTTGCTGTAGCCTACAGCAGAAGGCTACGCTTGTAAATAACTACCGATAATATGTAATGAGGAAAATTACAGCAATAAATAAAATAGTGTTTACATGAACTGATTCAGAGTTTTTAAATATATGCTGCTGTTTTAAGGAGACGGGAGTCCGTTTTGCTTTTAGCTGTGTCTAAACGCAGCGTTGGCCTTAAAATCTATTTCTCCAAGTGGACGTACAAAATGTGAGATTTTACTGGATTATTATTTCCATTGATCTGCTTCAAAATGGCTTAATGGTGGCAATTAGTGTGCCCCAAGATAAAATCTTTCACAGTGACTATGTTGGGGTAGGCCAGTGAAGAGCTAAAGATCAACTGGAGAAACTGCATTTTTGTTAACAGTTCACATGAGAGACTTTGCTAAAGAAGCTAAAACTGAGTAACGCTGTGAGAAACAGAACACTAGGTGAAAGCAAAACATAGTAAAAGTAGCAAAAAGGTAAGTTAACGTGGCAAAAGGCTTAACTAAATGTACCAAATGGCAAGCTTAAAGCTAAACATAAAAGACTGGTAGCTAAAAATTAAAACTGCTGAAAGTCTAAGTTAATATTTTAAATGGCTGGCTAGAGGTCAAACAGCAAAAGGCTTGTTTGAACTAAAAATAACAAAAGGCTAGCAAAAATCTAGAAGTAGCAAATCAGTAGCCAAAAGACCAAAAAAAGCAAAATAATAGTGTTGGAATAAAATAACCTTTGATGATAAATGGTGGATAATAACATAATATGGATTGGTGAATATAAGGTTAAATTATGAATTATGGAAAATAGATCATATAAAGATGGCTAGATTTTCTGTTAGATGTGGCCATAAGTCGATAAATAGTATCTTTTCAAGGACTGTTAACTTTAAAATCAAACCATGACACTTTCTGCTGTCAGTAGGAAAATAGCTACTTATTTCTAATGATTCTTTAATAAGAAACAAAACATCAAAAAGGTTCTTGCTCAGGTAGCTGAAGTTAAATTATAGTTCACATCATCTGAGTGTGTGTGGGGATTATAAAATAATTAATAATGAGTAAAAGAGGAGCTTAATAGGTCAGAGCGAGCCTGGCTCTTAGTGGAGCAATGTAAAAACCTGATAATGTGGCAGGTTGCCAGGGAATAATCAAGATTTTCACAGCCTTTGTGAGATTATGTATCATACACTCAGTGGAAAGAGATGGCAGCTAATGTGTGCCTGATAGATTGGACAGGGACTTCAGAGAGTCTGTAAGGTGTTTATTGGACAGGAACTGAAAACAGGAAATGTCACTGGGTGGAGAAAAACAGTCTATAAATGTGGGAAGAGACTTGAGACACGTCAGAATTGTACAGAGGGCCCTTGACTTCAAGTAAAATAAAACAATTCTCTCTTGTTCACGCATTTTGAAGTCTGTGAGAATAAATATGTTGTTTAATTCTGACATAAACGTGTGTTCCTTCTGAGCAAATGATCCGGGCAGGGGAGAGGAGCAGAGATCTTTGTTTCCTCTTACAATAGCTAAAAGTCAAAACGGAGGCTAAAAGCCCAAAGCTGCAAAAGTCCAGCTAAAAGTAGAAAAACTAAAATAAATAAATGCACTAAAAACTAAGCTAGCAAAAAGGCTGGTTAAAATCTAAAAGTTGCCGAACAATAACAAAAAATTAAAAGTTGCATAACAGTAGCTAAAAGTAGCAAGACAAGCTTAAACTTCAAAACAGGAGAAGCGCTAAAAGTGGTGAAATGCTAGCTAAAAGCATAGCACAAGATAGTGCAAACTAAAAAAAACAGTAGAAGTAGTATTAGCTGGCTAGGTAGGGAAAGAGTTAAAAACTAAAATGAGCAGAAAAGCTAAAAGTAGCAGAACAGTAGCTAAAAGTAGCTAAATACTAGCTAAAAGTAGCATATGACGAGCTTAAACTACAAATAGGAGAACGGTAAACTGTTAAAAAGACTATTAATTGGTTGGCTAGCAAAAAGTAGGGAAAGACTAAAAGCTAAAATGAGCAAAAGGCTAGCTAAAAGTAAAAAAGTGGCTGAACAATAAAAAGAAATTCAAGCTAAAAGCTATAGCACAAGATTAAACTAAAAACAGCAGAAAGGTATAGGGCTGGCTAGAAGCCAAACAGGGAAAGATTAGTAAAAAGCTAAGATGAGCAAAAAGTTAGCTAAAAGCTAGCAAAACAGTAGCTACAAAAATGCGCATGAGCAAAAACAGCCTGCATGCTGAAGACTGCAACAATATGTTCTTGAGAGAACTGAAGAGATCTCAATGTGTTCCCGAAGAATTATTTTTGTAAACTAAGTGAAATGTTTATAAAAAGCATAACAACAAGTCAGAACTCTGATCTCCTATAACCTGAACGTTTTGATAGATGAGTGGCTAAAACAGCAGAGCCTGAGCTGAATGAAAAAAGCAGCTAAAGCATCAGCTGAATGTGTGCAGCTGCACTTGTCCAGCACATCTCGTTCTTTGTTGACTGGTGTGTAAAACCGAGGCGTGCGTGCGCGCGCGACAACACAGCTCTCGGTCAGTCAGCCTCATGCTCTCTGTGACCACGGTGACTTTCACGCGCTCACATCACGCCATCGGAATCTCCCGCAGCTGCGCAGACTCCGCAGCGTCCACCATCCTCGAGCTTTCTGCGCAGATTTGCTGCACTTTCTTTAAAGAGCTGCGCCTCATCTGAGCCACATCCGTGCACACTGGCACCCAGTGACCGTCCACTGCGCGCACCACAGCTGTAAGTACTGGAATATGAGCGTGTTCATGCAGAGCAGTGTGTGCGTGCGCGTGAGTGTGTGTTGCTTTGTTTTTCTGTTAGACCAGGACGACTTCCTGTCTGAGAATGTGAGCGTTTCTGTGGAAAATGAAGGATTTATTTATGACCCCACTCTGCTTGTCCCAGTTTCTATTGTCTCGTTGCGCGAGAGGATTCTTTCCGTCAGACTTGTCACATTTCCTTTTCTGATTGATGAAATAAACACAAAGAAAGCAGATGGTATCCAGAAGCTTGGAGGAACAAACCCAAAACATGAGCATTTCCCCCCTTTTGGCACACATTATATTCACATTATCATGTGTTTTCCTACAGCTGGGACAGAGAGGACTGTCCCTGACTTGGACTAGAAAAGACATAAATTATGTATTTATTTATTCCTGCATATTCAAATGACCCGGCTGATTATTTTACAGGCTGATTTCTGAACATATTTGGTCTCGGGTCATCATAAATCCAGATCTGTGATCTCTGCTTGTTTGATTGTCACGTTTATCAATCTGAAAATGTTTTCTGCTCAAATGGAAACAGGTCGCTGACGTCACTGACGCACCACTCTGCAGCGGCTTTGCGTCACGCCGTTCCCCCCTGCGTCACCCCACACACAGGCGAGTGGGTGCACACCCACCCTCTTATATAGACTATATGGTGGAACTGACCTGAGATCAGTCAGTCACTGGGTAAAGGAACCAAACAACTGAGCAGGAGGAACTCAGTTCGGATACAGGAACACGTGACCAACCAGTGTGTGATGGATGGATTTGATCCAGTATGAGTTTAATGGTAATGAGTGTATGCAGATTAGAACACAGGTGAATACATTCAGTATTTATTACTCTGCTTCCTGTTTGGGTATCAGATGTGGCACACAAGACTGGAATTAAAGTGCACATAATTATTTCAGCTAAAGGCAGAGCTGGTTCAAATAAATGCAATAAAAAAAAAAGAAAAGAAAAGGAGATGTGTATCTTTAACACCCTAAAACCCAGAATACTCACAAGTCAGCAAGTTCTTTTTACAGGAACTGTTTCTTTTTTCTTCTTCTTCCTGCTTCCCAAATGTCTGTACCGGTAAATAACTCCAAAGATGGAACGGTTGCTTCATCTCTCACTGAGCATGGTGTAAAAACAGAGGTGTGGTGGGTCTAGTAAAAACATGCTGACGAGTGAAACCATCTGACATGTTGTTGTTAAACCAACAGGACTGAGTAGGATCAGAGCAGCTGGTAACAGGGTCTTTAGCCACGGACCCCTTTGACCCAGTGGACCACAGGGTGGGGTTTTGTGGAGCGATGTTGCTTCGCACAGAAGCCATCTTTGACTTCAGAGTCCAGTTCAGTGTGTCAGACTCTTTTACCCAATCTTAAAACGAGACTTCAGATCCTTTGAAGTTGGGTTCAGAGGAAAATGTTGCGAACAGTTAATATCTTACCTGCTGTAGATGGCATTTGACCTATATTTAGAGAAACAGCTGAATTTGACCTGGCTGATAGCTAGTCTGAGCGGGACTCTCTTTAAACAACTCCTTCTGAGAACAAGTTTTGCTGTTTATGAAAACACAATCTCATAAACTTTTACATCTCTGTCAAGTTCACAAACTTTTTTTTTTTTTTGCAGACACTAAAAGCAGCAACAGCTAACTATAACAGCCACCAGTTGCAGTTTCTGTGCAGCTTGGGTCACTTCCATCAGGAATATCATAACATTTCTCCAATAAAAAACCATTTAATACAAAACCCAGCAGGTTCTAACCTTTGTTGCACTTTGGACCTGCTTCATGTAAAACAACTTTCCCACAGACTTGTGGAGAAAAAACAGGTGTTTGGATTTACTCATTCTTGCCAGGGTTACCTTGTAGGTTTGCTATGACTGCAGCCGAGTCAAGTGCAGGAAAGAGGCATGAATGTATGATTTTTCAAAGTAAAATACTCTGCAGCGTTCACTCACCATAAACTTTTCAGTCGGGTCAGAAATAAACTCTATTTCCCCAAACGGTATTGAAAGGGTTATCCACAACAAGTGAGAAAATGAATGTTTGTAGCTTTTCCACAGAAACCCACTTCAAATTATTTGAACTGTCACTTTAAGCAGTTTTTGTACATTTCACTGCTTTGAAAGTGCAGCTAAGGTTCGGGAATTTTGTTGGCACATGTAGGGGTGATTTTACTTTGCAAAAACATTTAAATGAGCAGCGTCTGCAAGACGTTTTCTTATCAAAGCTTTGCATTTGGACATTATCAGAGTTCCTTACACCACCTTCAGTGGTCATAATGTTATGGTTGATCAACACTGATTTGTTGCTGAAAATAATTGCGGTACGTGATGCTGGGCTGATGGGCTGTGCCTTAAGACGTGCTGACTTCATTATTCTCCGATCATTTGTATCACTTTTTATTCCTGCCCTCCTCATCCCTCTGTCTTCTTGTCCTCTCTTTGTGCTCTTGTTCTCCTCACAGCAAGTCTTCTTGACAGACTTGAACTGACGGCGCTAGCCTGGATCCCAGCTGAGCGTCCGCAGTGTCTCCGAGCAGACGCACTCACAGACAGAGCCGAGGACACGCAGCCGAACTTCAGCTGCCTCAGAGCATCCCTCAGCCCTTCATCTCTTAATCATCTGCCATGACGGATCCCAGCCTCACGTCGCCCTCCGGCACCCAGCTGCGCTCCCCCACCGCCCCTCTCACCCTCTCCTTCCCCTTCCCGAGGGAGGGGAGCCGGCTGTGGGAGGAAGGGCGGGAGCCCCAACTTCCACGGGACCTGCCGAGCCCGCTGCCGACCAAACGCACCCGGACCTACTCGGCGTGAGTCTGAAAAAGATGAAATATCTCCTGGCGCTGGAGTTTAATCTCTTGGATCATTGCTCTTCATTTCATTATTTACAAAATACACAATCTCTGTCCAAAACAGCTGCAACATTAAGAACCCGTAACTTTTGGTTTTAAAATCGTAACACTGTAGACCAGGGCTGTTCAGCTAAACTGCTCAGGGGGCCACAGGGGCCGGACATCCAGCAGTTACTGTCATTAAGTTTGTTTTACTGTTTAAAATCTAGTTTAGTTTAAAAATGAACCCACTGGTGGGCCAAAAGGAGCTCACCCGAGGGCCTGATTTGGCCCCCGGGCCACCAGTTGAATAGCCCTGCTGCAGATGAAGCGTTTTGGTACAAAAGAACGATGAGCTCATGAACTAAGGTTCTTCTCTATAAGATAAAACGAACAAAAATGAACGTGAGGTAATTACCGATGCAGTATACTCGAACATATGATGATGCAACTTTGACAGGAGCCGTTGAGCAAACAGAATGACAGACATGTGGTTCACTCAGTGGAAGGTAAAGGTCACTGCAGGCTTCTCCTCATCGCTTGAAGCTTCTGAAATTAGAAAATGTGTTTTTATTTTAAGTCGTTGTCGAGTCGTTATTTTTCCCTTGATGTCTGTACTCGGTAAACAAAACGCCTGAGCGTTAAAGAGCGGCCTCCTCTCCATAATGCAGCTTGACTCAATGCAAGGACATTCTGGACTTTAATGTCTCTCCTGGATTACACCGGCAGACAGGGATTAGAGAAGGAGCACCAGATGGATACTGCTTTCTTTCGCTTTTTCTGCTCCGCTGCAATAAAAATGATACGGTGCAGGAATGGACCTAAAGAGGAATGCTGGCTTGTTGCACCAGCTGTGCCGTAGAGTTCCAAAATGTTCCACAAGGTCTGAAATTTACATCCAGCAATGTCTAAATCAACAGCAAATATAAACAAGGAAAACGTCATTAAACTGAAAACTAGTGTTTTATGAAGGAATGCACATCATCGTTGTCACCAACATTCCAGAGCTGAAGCTGTTCTGTCCGGAGGAATGGGCTAAAATTCCTCCAAGCTGGTGTGCAGGACTGGTCACCAGTTACTGGAAACGTTCCGTTGTCTGAATGTTTATGAAGCATTCACTCTGTTCGGTATGATTCTCGTCCCGCAGTTTTCAACCTATTTCAACAAATCATAAATCAAAACGTTCCGCTCTTTCAGGACAACGACTTTTGGTATTGGTGCAACTTTAGCTTTTTGACATATTTAGCCATTTCTGCCATTTTTTTCCTTAAAGAAAATGAATTGAGCTCATTTTACATCCGTCACATCTTTAGATCTGTTTACAATCTTTTACTGCTTCTTTCAGCTTCCTTGTGCAAATTTAAACATTTTCAGCTAATTTCAGCTGTTTTTTTCAGCTGTTTTGTGCTCCTTTCAGATTATTTCTGCTAACTACAACATATTTGTGCTTCTTCTAACTTCTTTCTGCTAATTTTAGCTTATCCTGAAATTTGCAAGTTTCAGCTTTTTCTACTATTTCGCCGTTTTGATGCTAATGTAAGCTTTTTCAGCTAATTCCACATTTTTTTGTATTAATTTCAATTATTTTCAGGCTAATTCATCAAAAATGTGCTCTCTACTTCCTTCTTGTACTTTTTAGCTTATTTCTGCTTTTTTTTTTTAGCTTCAACTGTTTTTTGCTAACTTCAATTTTTTTTCAGATAATTTCCATTTTTGTGCTAATTTCTGCTTCTTTTAGCCTAGTTGGGCAAATGTGTTTTTTTTCTACTTTCTTTTGCTAATTTAAGCTTGTTCTGAATTTTCAGCTACTTTTTCAGCCTTTTTTAGCTAATTTTAGCTGTTTTCAGATGAGTTTTTGTGGTCACGTCTACTACTTTCAGCCTAATTAATTTATATCTGCTAATTTCAGCTTGTTATGCTCCTTTCGGCTTATTAATGCTAGTTTCATCTTTTTCTGCTATTTCAGCTACTATTTATCTGTTTTTATACTAAATTTAGCTTTTTCAGCTAATTCCACATTCTTGGAGTTCATGTCAGCTCCTTCCACGTCCTTCTAATAGTTTAAGCTACTTTCTGTATTTTCAGCTACCGGTACTTTCAGCAATTTTTAGCTACTTTCAGCTTTTTCAACAAATTTTCAAATTTTTGTGCTCATTTTTGCTTATCTAAATCTAATTCAGTGTGTTCTTTCAGCTATCTTCAGCTAAGTTAGATTTGTTCATCTATTTCAGCATGTTTTTAGCTAATTTCAGCTGTTGTTCAGCAAGTTCTTCTACAACAAGCATTCACACTACATTTTCAAAGGAAATGCAATTTGTCTAGTTGCAGTTATTGCTGCACGGGGGAGGGGGTGGGGGGGTGTTGTCACACCAGATGCTGAAAGCATGAGCTTCTTAATTTATGGGACAATTGGTGCACCCCCTTGGTCCAACTAAATGTCCCCAGAAAACAAAACTTCATATTATTCTACCAGTTTTTGATCTTTGTGTGTGAACGAGGTATTTGTCTTTTCTTTTTGTCTGCAGAACGGTTCGCGCTCACTCAGGTCCAGTTTTCAAAGGTGTGTGTAAGAACTTTTCCAGATCACAAGGCCACGGTTTCATCCAGCCTTCCCACGGTGGAGAGGACATCTTTGTTCACATTTCAGAGTAAGTTGTTAACGGTGAAAACAGCGAACAGTTGTGCTGCGTTGGCTGAAAACACAGAGCAACAAAAAAAGGCTGCACAGCTGCACTCACCGGATGATAAATAGCTTTGCTACTTTTAGTCTACCCTTTTTATGCCAGTGGTAGAAAATATCTGCAAGCTCATTAGGGAAATTAAAAACCCCAAGAAGGAGCGCGTCTTTCACGCCAGCTAAAATCCATCTGAAGGCTCTGAGATACTTTGCTAACAGACATTAAATATAAATAGTTCATGGGAAATTTTTAATCAAAGATGTTGAGGGTCACTCTCAGCTACTACCACACCAAACTTTTAGATCAACAGCTGTAAATTTGGCTGTTCTAGCCATTTTTGTGTCTTTTAAGGTTGGACGTGACAGCCATCTTGAATTGGGTCGACTCTAAAACGTAATAATTTTTACATATACGTCCTTATGATAACTTTTTGAGAGTTCCATTAACATTCGGCCTGTGCTTCATGAGATATTTTGTTAACAGACAGATGCATGAACACGTGCACACAGTGAAAGGTAATTAATAAAAGAAATAAACATAACGTCACTGTTCTGTGATCCTCTGCATCTTTAAGCAAACACAGACTTCATCTCTTGTTTATGTGTTTCAGCATCGAGGGGGAGTACGTCCCAGCCGAGGGGGATGAGGTCACGTACAAAGTGTCCCGGGTCCCGCCTAAGAACATTAAGGTGCAGGCCGTGGAGGTGAAGATCATCCATCTCAAGCCGGGGACGAAACACGAGACCTGGTCTGGACAGGTCATCAGCTCGTAGGATCTGAGCTCTGAGGCGCTCAGGGTGGCACATCTGCTCTGGGACTCTTCTCTTTCCTCACTCCGCTCGAACGTTATGGTTATTTTTTTGGACATTTTTTATTCTGCACATAAAGGTACTCAGAGTTACTGAGAGGTTCAAATTAAGTAGTCATTAGAGTTGACTGTTACATCCCGATAAAGATTACCTGTTTTCTTCAAACCTGCTTTGAAACTGACCAGGGCTGCTGCTTCTTCCCACGATACATCTCTTCTATTTGTTGGCCCCCACACTGGCCTCCTGGCCTGACAGTCTTATATGCATAATCTGTTTGTTAGCAAAATATTCCATGAATCAGCTAGCCAACTCAAAATGACTATAACTCAAATACTGAGGCAAAAGGTGTTAGTAGCTGAGAACTCATGCTGTGAAACTGACAACATGCTATCAGAGCCTGCTTTAGGTTTGGAGAGCCAGGGCCCCCTGCCACGTATAGCCCCTCCTGCAGGAGGTGAGCCCAGGAAGGCAAACCCATGTAGCTCATTTAGGCTGAGACCGACAGCGGTAGCTAGCGGCCCAGTTGTCAGGAGCCCATTGACAAGCCCCTCCCCAGGCCTGGCTTCAAGGTGGGCGCCAGGTAACCCACATCTGTGCAAACATTAAGCTCCTTGTGTTCTGTCCATATGAGTGTCATGAATTGCTCTTTGTCTGGGTAACTTGGGACCAGTCTACCTTGGGAGACCCTAACAGGCACATTTGCCTTCAGCAGCATAGCTACAGGGATGATGAGCGCACACAAACACCTCCACCATGATGAGGGGGTTAATTCACGGAGGAGCTTGATATTTCTCTGTGCAGCCAGGGGCCAGGAGGGGTCCGGTTTAGTGACCCCAGGATTGTGTCCATGCTATTATTTGCATATGATGTGCTCTTGTCGGGAGTCATTGTGCCATAATCTCCAGCTCTCCCTGGAATGGTTCGCAGCTGAGTGTGAAGCTGCTGGGATGAGGACCAGCACCTCCAAACCTGAGGCCATGGTCCTCAGTGGGAAAAGGGCAGACTGCCCACTCTGGGCTGGGAGTCAGGATCCGCCTCAAGTGAAGGAGTTTATATATTTGGGAGTTTTGTTTGTGTGTAAGGGAAGAATGGGGCGTTAGATCGACAGATGGATCGGTGCAGCTTTTGCAGTATTGTGCACGCTGTGCCGGTCTGTTTTGGTGAAGAGAGCTGAGCCGCAAGAAGAAGCTCTTTGTTCAGTCCTATGGTCACTAACTTCTGGATTTGACACAAAGAACAAGATTGCAGATAAAAGCAGTCAAAATGAGAAGTTTTAATGTTCTTTTTTTAAATCAGGGACCGACCACACATTAAGCAGATTTCAAACTAAACTTGAATATAGCACAGATTTGAAGACTGTAACATGACTAAATCTGAATTTGTTTCTGCTTCTCGTTTTAGCAGGAGCAACTTGGTTGTTTTCTGAACTTCTTAAAAAGTTTCCAAGGTCACATGTTGGCTGAAAGTGAGTCAGATGACCTGGTGTAAACTCCACTGTTGTTAGACTTTCAAAAGACGAGTACCAACGACTGGCTTTAGACAATAGCGGTTGTGAAAGAACGATTGCAAAATTGGTCCAAAACAAGAAAAACACTAACTCTGACCTAATCTTGGTTTTGGATCAATTTAAAAACATGACCTGCCTGGGTTTGTTGTAAACGTGAAAAGAAATGTAAAGAAGTTTGGAATGAACGATGCTGTAAAGTTTAAAAATATGCTCCGTCATAAAACTTTCACACTTTCAGATGAAATGGTAAAACCGGCGGCTGGCATTTCACAACTTTGAGCGGAAAAGTACATCAACGAATCTTTCATGAATGCAAACTGTATCATTTAGTTATGTTGATTAGTTACGTGTCTGTTACAAGAGTTACATTTTGTTCTGTACAGTGAAAAATACAGCATCAGATCCGTTAGATTAGACATCAGTTAAATTTGGGAGAAAAAGGAGATCCGTCTGAGCCTTCTGGCCTGGGGCCTTTCTTTGTGGCGGCTTCATGTCCTCCCTGTAAACACGAGGAGTACTCTGGTTTCCTCCCACTGACCTAAAACTTGCATGTTAGGTTCATTGTGCCTAGGTGTGTTTAAGACTGTGAATGGTTTGTCTTGTTTGTGTGACCATGTGATGGACCTGTCCAAGGTGTACCCACCTCTGCTGGAGCACCAGCTCCCATGCTACCCAGAAAGGAGACGCAGGCAAAGAAATAGATGGGATTGATAATCTACAAAACAAAAAAAGCTTGTCATTGTCTCATTAGTTGTAGATATTCAGATTAAACACTGATCTGTGCGTCATCTGTATCACACTAACTATTCCACAGTCTCTACCCGTCATATATGTCAGCGTCACTGCCTGAAAAGGTGCTCGTGTGTGAATTTCCGAGGATGAGTCACTGTGACGATGATCCTCACTGTCACATACACTGAGTTTTGAAAAGCATTAAACTTTGACATTAGTTTGACTGAAAGTGTGCTTCTTTAGCGAATAAAGAATCATGCTACAAGTTTGCTTTTTAATACGACCAATTGATTCAGCACATTATCCCCAACAGCAGAATGTGTTGGTTGCCTCCTTTATCGCCCCTGCTGTGTTTGCTTTCAGCATTACTCACTCTTGTAGACGCACTGGCTGGTTTGCTGCAGGGCAGACAGGGACAAAAATCTCAACAGGTCAATAAATAGTACACTGCCTATAAATATGATCAAATGCTATTGCTCATTTCCTCATGAATAAGGTAACATTCGGAAAAGTTACAACTGAGAAAACTTTAGAAACGGATTTGAATGGTTGAAGGGGGCGCCCTCTAGTGGCTGAATGCAGAATGACGGGTTAAACATTGAAACTGCAAAATAAATGCAACATTTCAGACAAAATGTGTAGTCAAAAAGAATACAAAATAAAAAGCAAAACGCAGTAAAAAAAAAAAAGATTTATTTTCATTGAACAGATATGTTTTCCCTGAACAAAATGCTGAAAACAACAAAGGGAAGTGTAAACTCCCCAGGTTGAAGGAGTGCTGCAAACGGGACTCGTCTGTTCTCCCCACAGTTACAGTAATGATCCATGAAGAAGGGAGTATTGTCTCAACCAAACTTCATAAAAGGAGGGCAGAACGTTCATTTGGAGCAGAAATAAAAACAAGTTATTTTCTAAAGTTAGTGAAAACCTGTTCAACAGTGGTTGGATAGCACATACATTTATAAAATCTCAAATGTAAATAATTTACTTTAAAACACATATTAAAAATTAAGTTATATATAGAGAGATAGTTCATTCACTGGTTAAAGATCAATTTCAAAAGTGCAGTACTGTGCAAAAGTCTTGGGCCACTCCCTATTTTAATATTTTATTTTTTACTTGGTGTAACCCTTTAAAGTCGTGGTTCTTCAACATTTTCAATTTTCAACCCGCAAAATAAAAGTCACAAAGACTTGTGACCACAAGTGTCGCTGGTGGGAGTATACAAACATTTCTAACATGCCCCTTAACAGACGTTATGTTATTCATTTATGACTATGTTTACAATCTCCTTTTTCCAGTTATGACTACAGATGTAATCGAAAATCATTTTTAATGTAATTTCTGTAGAGTTCCTCAAGACCCATCCACTGTTTCAGGACTCAATGGGGTCCTTTAAAGTGGTCCTGATCAAAATTTCTCCAGGTTTTATGAAAAGCTTTCAAGTTTTTTACAATTTTTTATTTTACTTTGGCTGCATTGCACTTATTTTCAGTCTAGTTCTTTTACGTGAGATTTCAGATTTATTTATTTGGTATTCCAATCAATGATTTATGACAAATAAAATGTAATAAAAGGACACCTAAACTTAAGAAATGAGCTTTTAAATATAGACCTATATTGAAGGGATGAGCCAGCGTTGTGTCCACACAGAACAGACAACTTAGGAATGAAACTATTTAAACATTTTTTGGGGCATTTGTTTGACAAGCAGTCTGTTTCCTTTTTGTTGCACCTACACAAAATATTTTTTTAAAGTGTACCAAAAAATGCTTCTTTTTGTTTATCAAACTTTCTTTTTTATAACATTCAGAAATCGTGAAAAAACAAGAATTGTGTTTAAGACTATTTATAATGATTGTAAAAAAATTGACTTTTCTGAAGAATAACAAAGAAATAAGAAGTGACTTAAGAATCTTCCACAGCACTAAAAATCTGCTAAACATCCCCAAGAATGCATTAAGATTTTCAAGAAGGAAAAAAAAGTTTTTGTCTGGACTTTGTAAAGGTAAAGATTTGACACTCAGAGATTTAGATGGTAAACCATCGACTAAATTCATCCACTTCAGACACCTAAAATGTTTCCTTCTGTAAATCCAGTCCCTCCTCGTTATATTTACATCACATTTTCATACAGGCAGACAAATACATTCACATTTTAGGCCCTGTCCACACTACTCTGGATAATTATTTTAAACCAAATTGTTTTTTCTCAGTTTGAAAAGATAAATGTAAATTTAGACCTTTAAATACGCATGCCAGGACACTAGGTGGCGCCAACGCCAACATTAACAACATATGGAACTACAGACAAAGAACAATCTGATGATGAGTGTAGTTGATTGCCAAGACTCCCCCCCAAAAAGTGTTGTTTTTTTTTGTAATTTTTTTGGGACACTGGTTATATTTTCCTCCCAGTTATTTAACTTTTGAGCATTAACCAAAGTTTAATGTTGACAGAATCAGGATAAAGTGAGCCAGATGTAGAAAAACACTAAAAACAGACTCATTTCAGGCCACAAAGTGACAAACAGCTTCATTCGAGTCTACAGAAATAAAACAAAACCAGAATCATGAATAATTTCCAGTTTAAAAAAAATCTACATTGCTTTCTGAAAATATGCTGCTTGCAATTGAAAAGGAGGTGCAAGCGCAGCAGAAAGTGTCAATTTAAAAAATATATAAAGTAGTGTGGACGGAGCCTTAATCTCATAACAATAACAAACACTTCAATAAAATCATGCTCACATCAGTGCAAATTTTGTTTTAACCTCAACGTAATCTGGAGGATTAACTGTCCTCGTACCTTTTCTGTTGTTAATTACAGGTCACATGATTCGGTTCAGCAGTCGAACCTAGTACTTAAAACTTGAAAAGTGCAATTTACCAATCAGATGTTGTCAAATCCCCCTGACTGCTGTTCCATTATATTGTAAATCTATATTAATAATCCAGACAGATCAGTAGTGGTACCTTTCAACACGTCACGAATAGTTTAGGCTCAGGGTTCTGGTTGTTACTCAGTTCAGACAAGATTCTTGGTAGAGAGTTTGGACCAGAACATCAGGAGTCACGGGGTGAAGATTCAAAGAAAAGTTCTCGACAGAGTCTGGCTGTGTCCTCGGGAGAGTAGACGGTGAAACCAATAGTCCGAGGGTCGTTAAAAATTTCATAGTCGTTTCCTCCCTACAGAGAGAAGCACTGAAATTATCATCCAGTACACACAGTATACAAAGTACACACAGTACACACACTGCAGCAGCGCCACGTGATCCGTTTTATTTCTTAGCTTTCGAGTACAACCAAACCAGAAATCCAAGAACCATCCAGCTGAGGCTTACCTAACATTCAACCACTCCTTAGTTTAACATGCACGGCTTTATGAGAGTGCACTGCTGAGTAAAACAACACCACACTCCTACACTTTAAACATTTACCTCCACTCAAAACTTCACAAAACACACACCAAAAAAACAAAGAGCAACTTTATGTTTACACTTTTCACATGAACATTGTTTTTAGGTGGAATTAGCTGCTTCACCAAGTCCATTAAAAAAAGTGCATAAAATCTAACGCCCCTTTTTCTATCCAGTCTGCTGAGATTGGGTGATTTGCTGAGGTGGCCTGTATTCATTTTATTTATTCAACCTTTATTCCTACAGGTAGTCTCACTGAGTCACGAGGACTCATTTCCAAGCGAGGTCTGTCTTTAGAAGTCACACTTGTGTTCAGGGAACGTGAACTTCTTTCTGTTCATTCATCTGGCATGACTTTCCTCTGTTAATCATTTGTGTGCTTTGAAATGTTAAGGTTTGCCAATAACAGCACTTAGTTTGGGTTGAGAATTAAAATTTATTATTAAACAGGAGTATATGATGCAGATGAACTTGTTGACATCAGGAAATCCTGCATGTCAGAAAAAGTTAACAGTACGGACTAGATGTAGACAGATTGACCGATGTTTGCCACTTTTTATACATTTTTAAGAGTCCAAATTATTTCAAGTGTTTATTTGAGACAAGAAGATGTGTTGTGATGTTGGTCCTGCTTCATGCCTGCTTTGGTCACCAGAGGGCGCCGTACGTCCACACCTGCATGAGGCTCCAGGACTATATAAGGCAGTTGATGACTCTCCTTTGATGCTGAAGCATTACCCTGTGTATGGTTCGTGCTCCTAGTCCTTTGTGTATCTCTAAGCCTTGTGATTACTTATCTTTCTCTTGTGATCTTTCCAGTGAACCTCCAGAGACCTACCTGAGTATTTGGATGTCCTAGTGAACCCTTGTAAACATTGCCTGTGCACCCTTCAGCTGCTCACCTCGCCCTCCAACCACAAACCCTCCTGAGCACTATGGATCTTCTCGTGACTGTACAGGATTTTGGAAACCTACATCTTACCACCTTGCTCCCCAGGGTTCCTGTTTTGCCCTGACTTATTACTCAGTGTAAATAAAACCAGAATTGATACTATTGTGTCTGACTTGTTCATCACCGGTCCTTTCACATTTTGGTATTTCGTTCTTGTGACATCATATTTGCTCCAAAAAAACAAAACAAACAAAAAAAAAACCTGTCAGCTGGCCAGTCTTCAAATATTGGGATCTAGCGGGGGGGGTATTCTGCAGTCTGTTGTGACTGGTCAGCTACACAAATGTATTTCCTGGTTGTGTTAGTAAATTATACAGCCAAGGCCCACAACTACAAACACAGTCCACCAGTGAGTTTTCTCCCTTCAAATCGGACGAGGTGCTTCAATAACACATTCCATGATCGTGTATAAAGATGTCGTGTTCCTGTCGTTAAAACATCGGTTTACCAAAACATTAAAAAATAAATATTAGAACTTACGTCTGAAGTCTCGTTGCCAAAGAAGTAGATGGCGTCCAGGCCTTCGTTCTCCAGCAGGTCCAGGCACAGCCTCTTGTCCCAGCCCTCAGGGAACACGTCGAAACTGATGAGACCACCTGAAACAAGACACACCCCAACACAACCATCATGTTGTTGCTTTAACCACACAAAGCAGCTCTTTACCAATAAAACCAGTACAGGAATGCACATTCACACCAGCCTGCATGTTAATGTTTTATAGATCCCATGTGATCCATCAGCCCTTAAACTACGAGCTGTGAATGAGTCTCAGCTACTACCACACAAAACATGACTTTGATCCCAACAGTTAATACCAACATAACTGCATACCAAAGGATGTGTGGAAGACAAATCTCCATTTCGTTGAATGTTATGGACAATAAAGTTGAATGTGTTGGGGATGACTCGAGGCTACTACCACAGCAAACTTGAGCTCACTCTCTATAAAATGAGTGTCTGAGTTATGATCATTGTTGTATACGCTAAGGTTGACTAGCTGTGGTGGCCATCTTGAATTGGGCTGAATCCAAAAGTTAATTACTTGCAGATCATTCATTATTAATTTTTGAAAGTTGCAAGGCAATCCATTCCGTTGTTTCTGAGATATTTTCCTAACAGACAGAAAAGCACACACGCCCTTACATTACCGCCTGCTTTTTATGGCAGCAGGCAATAAAAATGTCGTCTTCAAGGAGCTGCAAATCAACTCAATGAACACGTCGGCTATGAAACACGAACAAAAAACAGTATGTCAGCAGTTTCTGGCTCGCGCTCCCTTTTATTTGATTTTACTTCTTGCTTTAGTCTCCAGCAAGCATCCAATCAGAAGGCTGTTCTCTCACACACCCTCTCCGTGCCTCTGTCACCTTCAACCCTTCAACATAAACAACTCAGTCACTTTAGTAACCAAACATCCTGCAGCGCGTTTTCCCACTTCTGATTAAAAATTGTTTCTAACAACACACAATATCAAAAATTAACTTTTCAAACTTTATTCATTACAGGCAAATTATCAAGTTAGACAAAAAGTTACCAAGAAGAATGTGAAATACACATGACAGCATTTCTTGAAGGAGTGCATTTCACCCACCACCAAGTTTTAAAAACAAGTTTTAAATAAAGATGATTTTTGGATGAGCTTTGACAGTTAATATCTTTTTGGGAAAACCTAAAAAAACATGCACAATCTCATGATAACTTACATGATCTATTAGCACTTTAAATTATTGGTTAGGTGTTAGAGACATTGCTCTGAGGTGGTTCAAATCTCATCTTCATGACAGAACTTTTTAGGTAATTTCTGGCAATAATTCCTCCAGTTCAGCTTCTCTCACCTGTGGTGTCCCCCAAGGGTCTATTCTTGGGCCACTATTATTTTCTATTTATATGCTACCACTTGGTCAGGTTATTCATAAATTCAATGTTTCTTTTCATCTTTATGCAGACGATCCCCAGATTTATTTGGCTATTAACCCATCAGACCTCTCCACACTCAATAAACTTACTCTCTGTCTTACAGACATCAAAACCTGGATATCTGATAATTTTCTTTCACTCAACAACAATAAAACTGAGGTGATGGTGTTTGGACCCAAGGCCAAAAGGGATTTAGTAGTTCAGTCCCTTTCTGTTCTTGGTTTTAATGGCACTCGTGAAGCCAGAAATTTGGTGGTAACCTTTGATTCTGATCTTAAGTTTTTCTATACATTTTAAGAACATCACTAAAACAGCATTTTTTTCCAAATTAGGAATATTGCCAAAATCAGAGCCTTTATCTCTTTAGCTAAAGCAGAAACTCTTATTCATGCCTTTGTCTCTTGTCATCTTGATTATTGTAACTCTTTATTTTCTGGTCTGCCCCAAAGTTCTCTTAATCGTCTTCAACTAGTACAAAACACTGCAGCTAGAGTTCTCACAAGAACCCATAAAGATCAGCACATCACTCCAGTTCTGTCCTCATTGCATTGGCTCCCTGTGGTTTTTAGAATTTACTTTAAAGTTTTATTGTTTGTTTTTAAATCCCTGAATGGTCTTGCAACATAATTTCTATCTCAGCTTCTTACCCCCTACATCCCTTCTTGCAATCGCCGATTCTTAAATCTGTTCTTACTTTCCACTTCCAGAACTCGACTGGTGACAGAAGGAGGTAAAGCTTTTATGGTCAGGGCTCCTAATTTGTGGAATGCTCTTCCTCTAAATATTAGACAGGCCTCTTCATTGTCTTCTTTTAAATCATTAGTTAAAACTTACTTGTTTAATAAGTTTTTTTAATATCTGAATTTCTTTTTTTCTTCTTATATTGTTATATATTTTAATTGATTTGGTATACTTTTGTGTTTCTGATGTCATTTATGATGTTTTAATTGATTAATGTGAAGCACTTTGTAACATTTGTTTGAAAGGTGCTATACAAATAAAGTATTATCATTATTATTACTTAGAATATGTTTTGAGGATGACTCTCACCTACTACCATACCATATTTTAACTGAATATCTGTTAAATTCAATATTTTACAGCCTTTTTTGAGAAGGATAAACTTGTGTTAAATGTGGTGGCCATCTTGAATCATATTGACTCCAAAAGTTATTCAGTTGTTGATGTACATCGAATGATTACTTCCTGAAAGTTTCATGGAAACCTGCTCAGTAGTTTATGAGATATTTTGCTAACAGACAGAGAGGACTGACTAACAGTTAATGGCAATGTTTTAAACAGATTTTTATTCATCAGTTTAGAGAATAGATTGGGGATCACTCTTAGCTACAACTACATCAAATTTGAGCTCAGTAGATAAAATATTTAGTGAGTTACAACCATTTTTGTTTTTGCTATGATTGCTTTGCTATGGCGGCCATCTTGAATTAAACCGACCGTAAAACTAAATCAGTTGTACATGTGCATCTAATGATTTGCATCAAAGAGCAAAATTAAAATCTGTCCATTACTTGATGAGATATTTAGTTAAAGGTACAGACACAGAATCATGGATAAAAACACCAGCGATCTGCCTTTTGCCTTTGGGGCAGGTGATAGTGAGTCCTGGAGTTATTTATAAAGAAAACCTGAAGCAAAACATCTCATATCTCATTACATTCTGTCCCCTCAGAGCAGATCGGTTGACATTTAGGCAACACTTTCCGCAAAGATCAGTCCTATCAGACAAAAAGATCAACCCTGCCTTTAGATAAACTCTTAAAGGACGGCAAACAAGAAAGTCTGCAACTCTGCACATTTTCTCAACCGTCTGTCACAGCATCAACACTAACATAACACGTTGACGCTTCAGCGACCCGAATCACGAGAGGAGAAACAGCGGAGTTTGTAGAATCTTTATCAAGAACACTTTCAAGGAAAAACAAGCTCGCCTGTTTTGCTTGTCAGCTCTCGCACGTAATCGTCGTCACCCGGCCTGCAGAGCACGTAGGCAAACACGGAGCGGCTCAATCAACCTGCTGCTGGCGTGTTGTCACAGAGCAACGAGGGCGAAGGGGAACAGCTCGTGTCTAATCGTTAACCCATCAGTCTGGTGGGAGGCAGAGGGGTCTTTTTTCTTTCACGGCTGACAAGGAGCAACAAACAGACGAGAAATGTAAAACTGGTTTGTCATTAGCGGTAAATAGAATACTAATGAGCGTGTTTTCATCGGGGGAGAGGGTGACAAACAAACAAGACGTCCTGACAGGTCAGAGAGCGTGGCTTTTTATTGAGGCACCGTTCTTGGTTATTCTTGGAGCGGTCAGCTTCACAAGCTACTAATAAACACAACAAAAACAATTTATTTTAAACACCCAATTCCTCTCAGGCCCAGTCTACACTGCTCCGAATATTTTTAAAAACTGAGATTTTCTGCAACCGTTGTAATTTCTGTCCACATGCAAACTAAGGCCAAAGGTCAAAGCTCCTTCATTATTCTGTGAGTAACTTCATTTGTGTTAAAGACATCGGATATGAACAGAGAAAGACAAAAACTCATTAAAGAAGTGCAACACAAAATGTGGCTTAAAGGGATTTTAAAAATATCTCCAGGATAAAATTGCTACACTACAATAAAATATCCTTGACACTAAGGGGCTGTCCACACACGAACAATTTTATAAATTCAACACAATATTTATTATTTTGGTCTTGCAGCCACATGGAAATGACACTTTAGAGCCCAAAAAGTGAAATTTTTTAAAAACGTTGCAGGGTGAAAAATCGTGCTGTTATTGTGTAGACAGCCAAAACGCAACTTTAGAAAACGATGACGTCACAGCTTCATTTCTAATTTAACTCACAACTCGAGGTGTCCTCTCCTTCTGTTTACGTTTCACATCCAGTGTGTAAGCTTCGTACACATGCTCCGAGCCTTGTTTCCTGTTTTTAGTGTACTTTTGTACTTTATGTGTGCGCAGCATCACATTCAGGCCTGGCATAGCTACTACAGCAGTTTGGGTTGTTTTCTGTGTTTGTGTGAATGAAGACATTTGTGGAAACGATGTGTCATCAAGGATATTTTAAAAAATAAGGAACGTTATTTTATTTTTTTAAACTGATTTTCCATGTGGACAAGGTCTAAAAAAATATAAAAACATTATACACTAACAAAAAATGAAGGAGCTGACTCAGATTGTTAGGGAGTCTACAGGAGGTTGGCACAAAATTTGTTGTGGCCCGTTTAGTCCTCAAGTTTTGTAAAAAAAAAAAATATATATATAGATAATAGTTTTCTAAAATTGCTTTTGAGTTCAGTTTTTAAAATCTCAGGGTAGATTGGACAAAAGTGGAATTAGAGAAATGATACAGTTAGGGCATTAACAGAGTACTCGAGTAATCTACACATCGATTGCTAGGACATCTATCGAGGTTAAAAATGTTATGTCGAGTATCCGTAGTGACGTCATATTATGTGACCACCGTATGACCGTAGGGGGGCGGTGTTGCACTGTTGCAGGTCACAGAGTATGGTGTAACACCGGGTCCAATGCACCGAACCAGAACCAGTTTCGGTTAAGTTTTGTTTTTGACGTGCTGCATGTCTCTTCACGTTTGCAGTTTAATAATAATAGTTTAGTTTTCCTGTAACTTATTTGCAGTATGATAAATGGTAGGAGCATAATATACGCACCCAATGTTTTGTTGGTCTTTTTTTGTAAATAATTACCTTTTTTTGGCGGTTTTATTTATTTATTTATTTTTGTATCTTGAGATCTATGACATCATCAAATACTTGAGTTCTACTCGGGTTTTATTATATTAATGTCGAGTTTAAAAATTATATACTCGTTCAATCCCTAGATACAGTACTACCTTTTTACACACATCTGCGATCGCTCTGTGCCTTAGAACCCACAACAACAATGGAGTCCTTTTAACCAGAGTTTTTTTGTCCGTCTTGCATTATTCTGATCCAGTCACCAATAAACTTTGATTGTGAGCTAAACAACATAAAAATACAAGCTACAGATGTTTTGGAAGTATCTTTAATCTAACTATGTATGCTCTTTCTCTGTATTTTAACTATGTTAATGTGAACATTCTCATCACCTGACGTGAGGCATGGGTATTTCAGAGGTTTTCTTAAGGTGTTTTCACACCTGACAGTCCGGTAGACACGGTTCGATTGGGGACCAATATTCAGAATACTTGTTTACATTTCAGCTGGTGCGGTTTGCATTCACATTGAACTGAGTCATTCGAGTCAGTCTGTTCCCCCCCCTCGCCTGTGGGGGCACTGCACCAAGAACTACTGAAGGACACAACACCAAAACCTCTGAAGAAGACACTTCTTCTTCATCTTCTGGAAGTAAAAACAAAAATGAAGTGGCGTTAAATTTTTGCTGTTTTAGGATTTCTGTTTTGTCATTTTTCAACAAGCAAGAGCAGAAGATGAGGCAGAAGACCATGGAGAATGTTGTTTTTCACACAAGGCGGCTGACGGCTCCGTATGAGGTAAGAGAAATGCACGTTTGTTTGCCCTGCGCTGTAGTCCACTTCCTGTTTTTGGAGCGGTCTCCGGTCCGCTTACATTCACAATGCATTCGAACCGCGCCAGAGTTCACTTTTATCGAACCGAGACCTAGGTTTTTAGGTGGACCAGAGTTCGCTTTTTTGGTCCGCATCTGCGTTTGATTAGCGCATTCACACCTCCCCAAACGAACCGGACTTTGTAAGCAAACAGACTAGAGTTTGATTAAAGCGGACTAAACAGGGCTAGTTTATGGAAGTAAATATTCAGAATACATTTTTAACCTAAAAATTCATTGTCATTATTTCTATGTTTGAAATTTCACAGATTATTTTCACTTCAATTAAAAAAATCACACTATTATTTCAAAGTGATCACATTTTCAGTAGCTGTTTTTCTGTTTTTTTTTTTTTTTTGTGCATTAAGTTCAGCACTTCATAAACCATACTACAGAAAAATGAAAGCATTAAACTCACCGTTGAGTTAGAGTTATCTTCCACGAGCACCTCGGACATGCTGTTTTCCTTCAAAATGAGCGCGACAAGCGTAACATCATGTGACTAAGAAAGTGGATGTGGGTGTTGGATTCTGACATCCTTTGCTAATGTCTGTGACCTGAAGTAACCCTGCCTTTTTTACACTGAATTTTTAGACGGTGAATTTCAGACGGTGAAACTGAGCCAGTTGAATCTAAGGACGCTGAAAGTATTGAGCTTGAATTTTGAAAGGTTTAATTTTTTTTTATATGCCGAATTTTTTTTAACACTGAAAAGTTAAAACTGAAAAACAGCTACTGAAAATGTGATCACTTTGAAATAATAGTGTGAATTTTTAGCTTGAAGTGAAAATAAATGAAATTTCAAACATATAGAAATAATGACAATGATTTTTATTAGGTTAAAAATGTATTCTGAATATATTTTAACACTGAAAAATTAAATACAAACATGCAACATTAAAATTTCAGTGGCATTTTTGATTCAAATCCTAGCGACACATATTTACTTCCATACTGGTGTGAATGCACCCTTACAGTGTGTTCTGGTCTTAGTTATGGCCTCAGATTTTTAAGTGATAAACCTCTCACCTTTGGTGAAACGAAGTCCCTTTCCATCAAATTCCTTTTTCAGAGCAGCAACAAATTTCTCCCTGATTTTTTCTCTCTGTGAAAAAAAAGTGAAATTTTGATTAGAGTTTAAACACCAAAAAAGGATTTATATCAATCCATGCTGTGACTTTTTCTTTAATCAGTCACACATGTACAGCTGGTTACACAGCTCCAGATGAAATTTGGATTCAGTGTAAAAAATAAAAGGCCACAAAATGCAACAGTCTGCTGGTATTGTTGCATAAACACAAGTATTTTGAAACTTGGAAATATCAATCCCAAGTTATGAAAGTGAAACATCTTTTTCTATTCATGGTGGACTCATGATTTCAGTTTCTCAACAGTTCAGAGACAAACTTTTCATACTTTTTGAGTTGTGTACAAAAATAAACAAAATGTTTCCTCTAAATATTCGAAACACAGCGATTCATCAGAGGACACAACAGTTTCCACTTCACCTGAGTTCACCTTCTACAGTCGAAATGTTTTGTTTGTTTAAGAGGTACAGGTTTAACTTGCTTTTATGAGTGAGGTGGTCAAGCGAGCTCACTGAGAGAGACATTTTTTAAATTACATAAAAAAACAACAGTTAATAGGTTCATCTAAATTTATTTGAATATTATGAAAAAGTTTGTTTTTTCGTCAATCATTTCAGAAAGTGAAACTCATATTATACAGATTTATTACACATAAAGTGAAATATTTTTATCCTTTATGTCTTGTAATTTTAATTATTATGGCTTACAGATAATGAAACACCAAAATTCAGAGTCTCATAAAATTAGAATATTATGAAGAGGTTCACTATTGTAAACTCCTGGTGTCACCCCCAATCAGCTGATTAACTCCAGACATGAGCTACAAACGTCTCATTCCTCGTCGAGCCACTCCTGAACCAGAGACACTGTCAGAAGTGTCTTACCTGAGCTGAGGAGAAGAACAACTGGGGCCTCATGCGCAAAGGGGGTGCATGCACACAAACGTGTACGTCCTTTTTCACGCAAAACTTCAGACGTATCAAGAATGCAATGAACGTGGAAATGTGCGCAGCCCCACGCAAACTTCATGGCTGGCGTACGCACGTTTGTATGTTTTATTGGTCCATTGGTGACACTTAGAGGTGATACTGGGAAACTAATGACATGGAAACTATTATTGTACACACCGGACACACAAGCTGAACAATTCATACATCCACATGCATGCATTTAGATGAGTGGATATAAAAGCATGCACAAAGTGGTGCAAAAATACCTTTAACAACAATGGCTTTAGCCTTATTAGAGGAGAGAGCAAATACGCAGAGAGCGTGAATTTAGAGACAGAGAGGATTTTCTGGCTTACGAGGCTCATCAGTGGTTTTAGGCTTCCAAGGGCAATCCTTCTTGGAGCGCTACACGGTGAGAAGCCGTGCGCTGCCCGTGCACATACAGCTGCTGATCACACTGGGGTTCCTGCAACAGGGGCATTCCAGATGGAGCTGGCAGACTGATCAAGACTGCGCCAGTCCACCCTGAGTCGATGCATGCCACTTGTGCAGGATGGAGTTATCTGTAAGTCAACCATGTGTATCAAGTTCCCTACAGTTCAGTTAAACAGACCAACGTTTTCCTAATTTAATTGGAGCTATCGACTGCAAACACATTGCTATGAAAGCATCACAGGATGAATATGTTGATGTTAACAGGAAGCATTTTCATTCAATTAAAGTGCAAATTATAGGTGATGCACAAAAGCAGCTAACCAACACGGTGGCGAGGCGGACTGGTTCAACGCACGATTAATTCTAATGAACAGGATGGTTGAGAACAAACTACAAGCTTGCACAGTGAGGGATGGGTGGTTTCTTGGTGAGTAAATTCATTTAATCTCTCTAATTTTAATCCCCCTGATGTGCATGGAGCCTGTGCGCCCCCACGTATCATCCTGTCTTCACCGTATCATTACCAGTCAGTGGTTCAAGTGAGTGGCTTCCTGTTTTTTTGCTGGTTAATCTACAGTTTCAAAGCGTTCTATCAAGCTCCTGATTGTTTCTGTATGTGTTTTGTCAATAAAACGCATGCGTAATGTGCGATATGCCTCAGCTCTCCTCCCGTGCACTGCTGCATTCATTTACAACAACAGTGTCGTCCATGTAAGTGGCGATGGGCAGTCGTCCTCCGCTTCACATCCACCTTGATGTCTGACCATTTCTTTTTAATTTATGTGGGTGTGTGCTGCTCTCGCCCCACAGCATTTACAGGTTTGCACACATTGTTCCACTCGCTCCTCTTGTGCTTTGCACTAATGCCAGAGGACAGCGTGCCAAGCAGATTGTTCTTTTGTGTCTCTTCCTCATTTAGAAGCTTCTCCAATACACATTCTGTGAAGTTCCTCTTTTTCCCATGTGTAGACATGCTTTGATTGTGCAGAGAGGAGATTCCTCAGGTGCAGGGCAGATTTAAATATGTTTGTATATTTAAATGCAGGTGTGACAAGGTGGGTGTCAGGTATTCCCTCATGTATGCTCAATTCCACGTTGATTGGGATGAACAAAGGAAGTGTGCTTGGATTCATGCGTACGCACGGTTTCATACATCTGGATTTATTTGTACGTACGCGGTTTTCTCAATTTGTTTCAGTAGGAAATCCACACAAGTTTTTGTACATGAGGCCCCTGGACTGTTGCTCAGTGCCCCAACGTCCTTTTTTCAAATGAAAGTAAATTTTCAAGTCATTTATAAATCAAGGTCCCAGAGTCTGGAGGAAGAGTGGAGAGGTCCAGAATCCACGTTGTTGACGTCCAGAGTGAAGTTTCCAGTCAGTGATGGTTTGGGTCCGTGTCCTCTGCTGGTGTTGGTCCACTGTGTTTGAAGTTCACAGTCAACGCAGCACCTACCAGGACATTTTATAGAGACTTCATGCTTCCTTCTGCTGACGAGCTTTATGGAGATGCTGATTTCATTTTCCAGCAGGACTTGGCTCCTGCCCACACTGACAAAGGGACCAGAAGCTGACTGTGGATTATTCTCATTCTCTGAGACTCTGAATGTTGGTTGTTCATTATCTGTAAGCCATAATCATCAAAACTACAAGAAATAAAGGCTTGAAATATTTCACTCTATGTTCAAAGAGTCTATCTAATACACGAGTTTCTGAAATGATTGACATAAAATATAGAACTTGTTCGCAATATTCTAATTTTTGAGATGCACCTGTAGGTTCTAAAATTAGTCAAACTTTTTAATGTTGCTGACGTCTTAAAACAGCTCCAGTCTCAAAAATGTTATGGCGTTTCACTATTAAATTTATTTTAAATTGTTTGGCAAAAATGTTCAGATATTTCTGCTAAAAGTGCCTTAAGGTTGCACGGGAAGTGCAACAGCTGGCTGCTACTACTGTTTTTAACACTTGCAAATGATCACATGAATCCATGTAAACAGCTCTGCATTGCAAACTTGGTTAAGATATAAAACTTTAATTAAAGAGCGACTGTGAAACTTTAGCGATTGGATCTTATTTACAATGAACAAAAATATGAACGCAACACTTTGGTTTTTGCTGAACTCAAAGATCTAAGACTTTTTCTATGTGCACAATAAATCTTTTTCTCTCAAACGTTGTTCACAAATATGTGTAAATCTGTTAGTGAGCACTTCTCCTTTGTAGACATAATCCATCCACCTTAAAGGTGTGGCACATCAAGATGCTGATTAGACTGCACATGTGTGCATTAGGCTGACCACAATAAAAGGCCACTCTAAAATGTGCAGTTTTACTATATCAGGGTGGGGGTGGGGTCAATAAACCAGTCAGTATCTGGTGTGACCATCATTTGCTTCATGCAGTGCAGCACATGTTCACATAGAGCTGATCAGGTTGTTGATTATGGTCTGTGGAATGTTGGTCCACTCTTCAATGGCCGAGCAAGGTTACTGGATATGGTCAGGAACTGGGACATGCTATATCGTACATGCTGATCCAGAGCATTCCAAACATGCTCAATGGGTGACATGTCCAGTGAGTATGCTGGCCATGTAATGGTTTCAGCTTCCAGGATTTGTGTACACTCTTGCAACATGGGGCTGTGCATTATGCTGCAGCATGAGGTGATGGTCGTGGATGAATGTCACAACAGTGGGCCTCAGGATCTCATCACTGTATCTCTGTGCATTAAAAATGCCATCAATAAAAATCACCAGTGTTTGTTGTCCATAACATAAGCCTGCTCATACCATAACCCCACCTCAACCACGGGCCACTTGATTGAAGTTGACATCAGTAAAAAAGCTCACACACCCAATTCCATACACACCATCTGCCCTGTGCAGTGAAAACCAGGATCCATCCGTGAAGAGAACTCCTCTCCAACGTGCTATACACCATTGAATGTGAGCATTTGCCCACTCAAGTCTGTTACGATGAACTGCAGTCAGGTGGAGACCCTGATGAGGATGATGAACTAAGATGGTTTCTGGCAGGTTGTGCAGAAATTCTTTGGTTATGCAAACAGATTGTTGCAGCAGCTGTCCAGGTGGCTGGTCTCAGATGATCTTGGAGGTGAAGATGCTGGCTGTGGAGGAGGTCCTGGGCTGGTGAGGTTACACGTGGTCTGCGGTTGTTAGGTCAGTTAAATGTACAGTCAAATTCTCCGAAACACCTTTGGAGGCAGCTTATAGTAGCGAAATGAACATTCAGTTCATGGGCAACAGCTCTGCTGGACCTTCCTGCAGTCTGAATGCCGACAGCACGCTCTCTCACAACTTGTGACATTGTGTTACACTGAGAATTGTGCTGTGAGATAAAACTGCACATTTTAGAGTGGCCTTTTATTGTGGTCAGCCTAAGGCACACCTGCACAATAATCATGCTGTCTAATCAGCATCTTCATATGCCACACCTGTGAGGTGGATGGATCATCTCAGCAAAGGAGACGTGCTCACTAACACAGATTTACACAAAATTTGTGAACAATATTTGAGAAAAAGATTTATTGTGGTCATAGAAAAAGTTTTAGATCTTTGAGTTCAGCTCATGAAAAATGAGAGCAAAAACAAAAGTGTTGTGTTTATATTTTTGTTCAGTATAAAATGGCAGCAACACATTTAGCTCTTAGCTATTTTTGAACTATTGAAACTAAAAAACATTATTTCTTAAAATGATGGGGTGGTTTGGTGGCTGCACTGGATTTTGATGTGGGAACCCAATTTTCAGTAGTGATCTGTCTTACGTCTAGATGCAGCCAAACACCAAAATGGAAGTAGGTACATCACTTATTTAAAGTTATCCAGCTCACAAGACAGACTAATGAATGGAGGGTGTTTCTAAATCCTCACTTCGCTCCACGACGGGGGACAATAAAACCATATTTCTCCAAACTATCTGCAACAGCTGACATAATAATTCTTCCTTTCTATAAAAAACGAACTAAAGGCTTGATTGAATGATTAACAATACATTCATTAAAGTTTTTGTTTTTACATTTGACAACTCAACTATTATAGTGGTGGGACTTTAATTCTCTCCACAAACAAATGGTTAATTCCTCTTCTGCTTTTATAAACTTCCTTTGTATCGCTTGGCTTTGTTATCAGTCCACATTGGTTAAACTGTGTGGACAGCTGAGCATTGTTCTGCCTTTTTTGTGTCCATGTCTCAAATCAGAAAAAACAAAGGCGGCGTCAGCTGCTCATACCAAACGATAATGGAATTGCTAAACCCAAACAGATAAGACCAGGCTTTGTTCCAGCTTATTTGCTCTTCGATTGCACCATTGAAACTGCTCACATTTGTTAACCTTTAACGTTTTGTAATCCTGACACTTTTAGGAGCAGCGATCAGAGAACACATTTTTTTTCATTTGACCCGTGACTGATTAATAAAGCACTGATGCACAAAGTAGCTTACCTTATCTAATTCAGAAAATTCTATTCGTTCCTCGGGCGTGCAGCTTCGACCGATGGGGGAAATGTTAATTGTTCCGTTCCTGAACTCAATAAAAGTCCCCCTGCAGGATGAAAAATGTGGATGGTTAATCATTATAAATGCTAAAGGGACCTAGTTAGAACAAAACCTGGATTTTTTTTCTGACAACAGTGATTTATTCTTGTGTCGAGAAGAGTTTTAACTTCATTCCTGCCCTTAAGTTCCTAGAGGAACGTCTTCTGCTCTGACAGATTGGTGCAGAGGAGTAAAACCATCCCCTGAACCTTAAAGGCAGGTCAAATGTCAAGCGTTCGTGTATGACACCACCTGGGGGGCTTTAAATATTAGTATTTAGATTGTTTTTTAGTTGGAAATGTGGAAAGACCATTACCTGGTAAAGGGATAGTTCAGTTGTTTTTGGAGTTATGTTCTGTTTAACAGTTATCAATAGTTTGCACCTTTACAGCCTAAACATTAATGAAAGAATATGGAGTATGGAAATAAAGGCCAAAGTCAAGCTAGGCTAAAGGATAGCAAATGTGGGTCCATTGTTTTTCGTCGGGTTTAAAACAACTCGTCCTCAAAAAGGACACTTTGGTGCTATTTGACAAAGCAATACTTAAAAAACAACAACTAGTCGATCCCTTTAATATGTTAGCTGTGGTAGATGGCTCTTTGAACTACCTAAACTGAGTTTAATTCAGACTGGATTGACGAGCTAACAGCTAATCTGAGCAGCATCATCTCAATTGATTATTGGCAGTTCAGCTAATTTCACATTATATTTAAAAGAATTCTACAGATAAAGCCCAATTAGCAGCAGCGGCTAGCTGTAGCACTTCTGGTGCAGCCTGTGGCTGTGTAAAGCAAAGCTGATGGTGAGGTAAAGGTTTATAAATTAGCATTAGCATGAAACACTAAGAAACTCACTAGTCAATCTGGTCAGGATTAAATTTTGTTTCTCCAATCATAGGCGAACCAAAGAGATATTTACAAAAGATAAGGTATTAATATTCAGGACTCTTCCACAGAGCTTCATTTTAAAAGATTTGTGCTGCTTCTTTAAGTTGCTGTGTTGTATTCTGTCAGCAGATCACCTTTTCTTTGGCAGCTTGATGAGCCCCATGTAGCTGAGACAGAAGTTGATCAGATCCTGCAGCAGCTCCTCCCCAATCTGGTTTTGAATCGCCTGCAGGGAGATTAAAACAAAATGTAAATATACTTTAAAATATCAAAGTTCATGCTCAATAATCCAGGTAAAAAAAAACACAACAAAGTTTAGTCAGGTCATCTGGACGGATTCTTTTATTTTGTTGAGACTTTTTGTTCTTCATCCAAAGGACTTCATCAGTCCGAGGAGCCACAAACAAACTCAGTCCCACAAGCAGAACACCACTCAGTTTGCTGGTTGGTCCACTTTGGCTATGGCTGCCTCAGAAGAGTCGACGGGGGAGAGGGCGGGCCCCATAACCCATCTTATCACCATCAAACTGGTTGGTCCACTATGTGGATGTGCTGCTTATGAGAATGAATATGTTTGTGGCTCCTCAAACTGATGAAGTCCATTGGATGAAGGACGAAACGTCTCAACAAAAAAAGAAACCGTCCAGATGGCCTGACTGAACTTTGTTGGATACTTGATTCAAAATGGTCACAAAATAAAAAGTGCTAAATGACCTCGGTCCTTCTAAGTGTATCTTCCAACATGATTCACTGTTTCTCTACAGGGTCACCAGCTTTCTTCACGTGTAATGATGTAATAACGTTAGTGAATGTAATTCACATGGAATGCAGTCACAGAGCTACGTTCACTTACATGTTTTGAGAGAAGTTTCCCATCTTTGTACTGAACTGTTCCATTTTCAGCAAACACATAATCGAACTTGTGAATCACTGGAAGAAAAAAGAAACAAGAAAGTTTTCATCTGTTCCTTGAAAACCTTTATAACTACATCAGGAATCAACCGTTCACTAAGGAGGAGAACGAAAAACAAATATTTTTACACAAATCAGGTGGCTCTGTATTAGCAGATTATTGCAGAATATGATGATCTGCACATCATTGTATTCAATGGAGAACAAGAACAATGTTGAAACAGAGAACTTCAGTCTTTCTTTTCAACATTTTACAAGTAATGATAGCAAAATTCTGGATAATTATAGTAACTGTACAAATCGAACCTCAAGAGAACATTTGAAAAATAATTTAATTTGATAATTTAGATTTTTGAAACAGAAATTTGAAGATTTCATCTACCATCTAACACCCCTCCTTCTATCGCTGCTTTTTCATGACCAGTGTTGCAAAAGATTAAACTGAACTCCCTGTACCTCCTCCCACCTTCTCTCCAGCTCATGTGGAGGGACTCTGGTGTGTCCCCAGAACAGATCTAACATCTAGTCTCTCCAGTGACTTCTGGATCTCTCCTGAAGTCTCCTCCCAGCGGGACACCTTCTTTGGAAGACGTCCTTACTACCAGTAGATGTCTAAACCACCTCAAATGGCTACGTTTGATGCAAAGGAGCTGGTGGATTGACTGGTAGCTTTACGTTTCATCTTAGCTCCTTCATCAGTAAGACAGATCACTGCAGATGCCATTCCAATCCACCTGTCAAGGTTCTGCTCTGTTCTTCACCAATTTCCAAACACGTCCTTGGTATACTCGAACTCCTCCACTTGTGCCAGTGGCTTGTTCCCAACATGATGTTGGCAGTCCACTGCTTTCTGGCTGAGGATCATGGCCTCGGACATGATGGTGCTGATCTTCAACTCAGCTGCAAAACCATTTCAGTTTCTGCTGAAGTCCAAGCTTGATGAGATCAACAGGACCACATCATCCGTGAATGGAGCCACCCTTGTATCTATAAATTCTGTCTATTAAAGATATAATCTGTGACAAAAGGCAACCGAGCCAAACCCTATCGGAAACGAATAAACCAGACTTTTACTGCAGGGACCAAATGACTTTTAGTAAGAGGCCTGAAATCCAGTACTGTCAAAGTACCTAACATTAAAATATCAAAAGACAATAAACGAAGGGACAAAACCAACAACAACAAAAATATCCATGTGGTTCAGAAGCAGCAAGGCATACATCTGTAACAAAAAGCCTTCTGATGGACGGTTGTGTTACCCACTGAGTCAAGATGGAAGACAAAGTGAAACATTCAGAATACGTATTAAACTGTGAAGGCATCAACCCTGAAAAACTAAAACTTTATAGTAGAACCACAAGCGCTGGTAGCAGTCTCCACACCATCCAGGACATCTACCACAGCCGATGTCTGCGTAAAGCACGCAGCATCATTAAGGACCACACCCACCCAGCACAAGGACTCTTCCATCTACTACCCTCAGGCAGACGATACAGGAGTCTGTCATCACGTACAAAAAGACTAAAGGACAGCTATTATCCACAAGCTGTCAGATTACTGAACTCTCAATAAATAACACTGAACAACTGGAAATAACTAACTAATAATTCAACCTCAATGTCACTGCCTGTGATATTGCACAGGTAGTGACATTGAGGTTGAATTATTAACTTGTCACACAACCCATGTGGTATATGTTGATTATGTGTGGTATAGTATACAGACCCTTTCTAAAAAATTAGAATATCATGGAAAAGTTGTTTAACTTCCATAATTCCATTCAAAAAGTTAATATTTAATAGATGATAGATTCAGGGCTCACAATTTAAATGATTTCAAGTATTTGTTTATTTTTACATAATTTGGGCTTCCAGCTCATGAAACCCACGAAAACAGAATAAAAAATATTTGAATACTGTAGAGACATCAGCCTAAATTTTGCAGGGCATGAATGTTTTAAACTGAGTGTGACTCACTAATCATCTACTAAACTCAAAGCACCTGCACATGTTTCCCCAGGTGTCACTAGATTGCTTCAGTTTGGTTCAATTGTCTCAGTTCGGTTCAATATGGAGAAGACTGCAGACATAACTGACCAGAAGACCATCGTTGATACCCTCCATAGGATGGATAAGCCACAAAAGTTCATAGCTAAGGAGGCTGGCTGTCCACAGAGTGCTGTGTCCAAGCATATCAATGGAAAGTCTAGTGGAAGGGCAAATGTGGCAGGAGAAGATGCACCAGCAAAAGAGATGACCGTGGGCTTCAGCGGATTATCAAACAGAGAGGATTCCAGAATCTGGCAGAGATCCGGAAAGAGTGGAATGAGGCGGGAGTCACAGCTTCAAAACCCACCACGTTCAGACACATCCGGGAGATGGACTACAACTGTCGGGTTCCTCGGTCCTCTTTTCCAGTGAAAGTAAAGTGTGGCTTTAATTTGGAATCAAGGTCCAAGGGTTTGGAGGAAGAAGGGTGAGGAACAGAACCCATACTGCTTGAGGTCTAGTGTGAAATATCCACACTCAGTCATGATTTGAGGTGCAATGTCCGGTGCAGGTGTTGGTAAACTCTGCTTTCTTAAATCCAAGGTCACCTCAACAGTCTACCAGAATGTTTTAGAGGACTTCATGATTCCTTCTGCTGAGGATCTGTATGGAGATGCAGGTTGCATCTTGCAGCAGGACCTGGCCCCTGCCCATGCCACCAGAAGCACCAAAACCTGGTTTGATGCCCATGCCACAGTGCTTGACTGGCCAGCCAACTCACCGGACCTAAACCCCGTTGAGAATCTATGAGGTATTCTCAAGAGGAAAATGAGGGGTACCAGACCCAACAACAAAGAAGAACTGACAGCATCAAGGAAATCTGGGCTTCCATAACTCCCAGTCAATGCCACAGGCTGATTGACTCAAAGCCACGTCACATCGAGGCAGTGATTAAGACAAAGAGATTCCCAACCAAGTATTGAAGACTGACATATCGTTTTGAAAGTACCATATTTTGATTGATTTGTTGTGATCCTAATTTCTTTCTTCTTTTTTCTGCAAAAGCTGAGTAGTGTGGGTTGATGTCTTCACGGTATTCTAATTTTTTAAATTCCTGTTTTCGTGGGTTTCATGAGCTGGAAGCCCAAATTATGTAAAAATAAACAATTAAATACTTGAAATCGTTTAAATTGTGGGCCCTGAATCTATCATCTACTAAAGATTAACTTTTTGAATAGAATTATGGAAGTTAAACAACTTTTCCATGATATTCAAATTTTTTGGAAAGGGTTTGTATATTACTACCTTGAAATACTTATCCATTCAAATTCATCCTGTTTGGTACTTTTTTTGGTGTACTCTTATTGCATGCTTTTCGTATTTCTTGTTTGTTTGTTCTTTGATTTTTTTTAGCGAGTCAGATTGGTTCTTCTCATCCTAAACAATTCATTGTTAACCCTGTGTTAAACTTGCATATGACAAGTAAACACAACTTGAACAAGATGCCATCCAAACAACAGACGGGAATATCAAACCAGTTAATATTTCCATACAGCAAGAGTCACCTCCCTCCTCAGAGTCTGAGTTTAAACGGCTGGTCTGACCGGGAAAACAAGACAAAAGGTCCCAAAATGTTGAGCATCTAAATTTCTACGTGTGTTACAAACACCTCTCCAGTGACGCCTCAGTTCTTTTATTACGCAACAACATCAGCTGTTTTTGTATCAACAAAAAGGAAACATTAACCCACAGTGAACTTGGCACGGAGATAAAACCAGCGTCTGCGTTCCAGCTGTTCTCATAATATTTACTGTCAGACAAGATATCAATGAGTCAGCGCAGCCTGAACAGGGAGGTCGTAGAAGCTGTGTGACGCCCGCTGAGCCACTGTGCGCTGTGGCAGCAAATTAAGCAGTAAGAAAAACGTGAAGCGTGTAATATTACCCATGAGCAATGGTGCAGTTCACATTCCGCACTATTGTTTACTGAAATGAGGCTCCAGGCGTGTGGTGAAGCAAAGGAAGGTAATAATTTCCTAGCTGAGGTGGCCATCTTGAATTAGATTGCTTGCAAAAGTTGTTCGTTTCGTTAAAATCTGTTAGCGGTTCATAAATTTGCTAACAGGCAAGCAGGATTGACTCCAACGGTTACGTTAAAGTTATAACCACAGCTCTTGCACACCGAATGTCACCTGGAGTCTGAATGACTCTCATCTACCACCACGCCTTGCTCCAAATCTGTGAAATTGACTGAAATAAAGCTAATTTCATGTTTTCTTAGTTTTGTCGACAGTAGGAGCCTTCTTGAATTGTGTTGGCTCCAAAAGTTATTCAGTTGCAGATTTACACGAATTGATTATTTCCTAAAATGTTTTATTAAAATATGTCCACTGGTTCACGAGATTTTTTGCTAACAGACAAAGAGAGTAGACTCCAAGTAGTTAATGGCAAAGACTTAAACAAAAAAAATCTTGCACAATCTGTTAGTGCATGGATTAAGTGTTGAGGATTAGTTCCAGCTACTCCCACACCTAATTGTAGCTCAGGATCTGTGAAACTGTCAGAGTTACAGCCATTTTTTCTTGTTTAACTTTAGTTAGCTGCGGCAGCCATCTTGGCTCAGGCTGACACCAAAGCCTATTCACATGTGGAAGTACATCCAGGGACTAATTTCTGAAAGTTTCATTGAAATTTGTCCAGTGGTTTATGCAATATTTTGCTAACAGACACACAAACACACAAAACACTATCGCCCGCCTTGCTGCAAAATGAAACCAGGAAGCTTTTTCACCATCATCTCCCTCCCCGAGCTGCTCTGCGATCTTGGGGTAGTCGGAGCCTCCAACGATGCCGATCTTCACCTTCCTCCTCAGAGTCTGGAAGAACTCATCCAGATGTGGGTGGATTTTCTGCAAGGCAACAGGAAAATGCACTTCAAGTCATCTCGACAACTCACTTTAGCAAAAAGCACAGATTATTAAAAAGCAACATTTGTGTAGTTACAGTATAAACAGAGATGACATGTGGGTGATGCTCTACATAAAGACACACGTGATCTCAGTGCCTGCTATAAAATGATGTAAGTGGACTCAGTGCAGTTTGACAATAAATGATGTTTATAATGACACTTTCCAGAGCAGCTGTTAATGGATCAGACTGACTCCAGGGTGTGAGATGGTGCAGTGTAAACATGAATGAGGACACAGTGTGCTCTCTCAGGCTGCAGGAGGAGTGAGCAAGAGGAGGAGGCGTGTAATGACGAGTAAACAACAACAACAACAAGGGCTAAGTGGGTGCTCATCTTACTTCTCTTGGAGCTGTCAGGGTTCCGTCCACGTCAAAGAGGCACAGCACGTTTCTGTCCGACGACAAGCCGTTTTTGCACCTCTCCATTTCTCTGTAGTTTCTTCCTTCCAGTCTGAGCAGCTGAATAAAAGTTCACTCAGTCTGCTCCGTCACATGAGGTGAAAAATGCCGCAGCAGTCAAATGATGAATGAGATGTTTGGATAAAAACAGACTTGGAGGTTTTCAATGAATCGATTCATCTCCTCCTGGGTGAATTGAAGAACCACTCCCCCTCATCTGTCTTATTCGGGTTCGGTTCGGTTCTGCTCGAAGAGCTCCGCTCCGTCTCCGACATGTGCTACGTGCCTGCAGCGCGATACAGAAGAAGCCATTCACAGCCAGGGGACTGGGCGTGACGTCACGGGGAGTGGGCGGGGCTACATGCTGCTGAACTTTTACCCAAAGAATTACGGTGTGGCAGGCCGTTATAGCATATAATCAAATCACTCCTCTCTGGCCATTGGAATATAAACGTTATATTTTATTTTTTTAGTTTTTACTAAAATGGGAAATTCGTACATAAAAATGTTCATTATCTTCCAATGTAGCATCGCAGACAGTAAAAATAGATAACAGGAGTAATATAACCGTTTTGCTGGAATTACCATATATGCAAAATTGACTGGTTTATAAATAAGATCGAAGTTGTTTCAAGATGACAACAATCCACGTCAGCCTTGCTCCACTCAAATCAATTGTTACCTCACTGACCCAGAAATAAAAACAGTGAGATTTGGTAATGGTTGTTTTTCACGAGGCTATGCAAACACTATATTCCATGTTGGATTTTGTTGTTGTCATCAATCAGAAATCTTTGACTTTACGCAAATTTGAACTCATTCCATTAATTATTTTGATTTTGATTACCCAAATACAAATATAATATACCATTACATCATCCCCTAAATTGATCCAATTGATTGATTATGTATACTACAGACTTTATCTGTTTGCAAATATTCCATCAAAAGCTCCAGCCACAGCAAAATTGTCCATTTAATGGCTCTACACTACCCCCTAGTGTTTATAAGTGATGTTGCTTTAAATCAGACCTTTCAGGATACTGTATTTCATATTTTTTGGTCTGTCTGGAGCAAACTAATCTAATTTTATCAGCGCAATCAATAATGTTTTAAAAAAGAAACAATAGCCACTGAGTTATTTTAAATTTTCTTTGGCTTTTTTATTCCCAAACATTCAGAGTGGTTTGAAATGTACAGAGAACAAAAATAAATTGACTCTTTACATCCACTTTCTAGTAAATGTTTCTCGTTTGACTTGATATTATAAGAGACTTTTACCTTAGATGTAAATCTTTTCCCCACAGTGTTCTGAGTTGATCAGTGATCTCATGCTACAGAAATGACCAAACTGTTGACTCAGTCTCACCTATTGTTCGGGCGATCTTTTTCATTGATTTTAAGCCCTTTTGTCTTTGCAGAATCTACTGAAGCATTTTATCTGCTTCAATGACAAAGAAACAATGAAGAAATCGCCCTCACTGAAACAGTCTCTGAATGTTGCTCAGGTTTTTTCATTTGTAAAGGCTGAAACATATTTATGAGCCATTTTTGACAATGCTGTGTTGATGTGTATGATTTAAAATCTAGAGCTTGAGTTCTCAATCTATGTTTAAAATACAACTTTATCAAGTTTCAGAGTCAGAGATTCTTTGTTGTCGTTCGCACCACATGTGGTACATGTGGTGGAGCGAAATTATGTACACAGGGTCCCAGTTACATCCAACAATAAAATGTAAAAGAAAAACAGTAATAAGATCTAAGATATGAACTAAGAAAAACATCAACTAAATATACACTAAGCTCTAATAGTATAAAAACATTATGTCGAACAGCAGCACGAACACGAGCATGAGTCTGTGTGAGCATATGAGCATGAAACAGATCAGCAACAACATGAAACAGATCAGCAACAACATGAAACAGATCAGCAACAACATGAAACAGATCAGCAGCAACATGATGTGATTTTTTTCGCAGTGATTATTAGTAGAAGCTGTTCCTTAGTGGTTCTACACTTAATGTTCCTCAACCTCCTTCCTGAGGGGAGAGGGGCAAAAAGTGTGTGTGCTGGGTGAGTGGGGTCCTTCATGATGCAGGTGGCCCTCTTCCTGCATCTGGTGTAGATGTCTGTGATGGTGGGGAGACTGACTCCTAAGTTTCAGCTTTTCATTAAACAGTCAGTGGGTCATTTTTTAAATTTAGGAACACCCTAGATGGAGTGAAATAGGTGACAAATTTTGTGGTGTGGCCAAATTAAATCAAGATTTTCACATTTCAGATTATTTCTATGTCTTCTATTTCATCACCCTTTTCTCCAAAGGTATTTGGTACATTTACAGGTCCAAATGTTTTTTATTTATGTTTTGGTCAGGCAGTGATGTTCTCAAGGATTCATACAACCCTTTACTTCTCAATTGGGTCTCCTGAGTTTTGATGCCTCCGTTAAAAAGACATATTAATTGAAATTGTTTCAGAGTCAATTTTCTCATACCAGTGGCTACGTCACAAATTACCATCGTTCAGCTGCTGTTTACCAGCCAGGATGAGACAATAAAAGAAAAAGTGTTGTTCTTAACAACTTGCTATTTCCTTCTCCATGTTGAAATAGACAGAAAGCCTCTTGAGATGGAAATGATATTGAACTAAATGGACGTGTCCCTCAGAACAACCGTGCTATTCCAGTGTAATATGAATGTTTGTTTAAGAGGTTTACAACCTGTGAGGTGCCAACAAGACAACTGTGTGATATGCAGGAAACGTGGAGCAGGGGCCCAAACGTGTTTGCTTTGAGTGATAGTGCAGCACAGCTTGAAAACGCGTAGTTTCTTTGCAGTGCTTGGGAGTTTATTGCAGACAGATGATAAAAGCTGCTGGAGAAATAACAAAACCTAAAAGTAACACTCTGAAACATGCTCATTTGAAATGACTGCAAATACGTAAACATATCTCAAGAAATATTACTCTTCAGAGTGACATGAGCAAAACTTCAGAGGATTAAAGGTTCAAGAGTTCAAGGATTTTTTTATTGTCATACCAGCTCACATTTGCATGTTTATGGTAAGAAATTCGGACTCATGTCCCAGATCAAGAAACCTAACAATTAACAGAATGCTCCTCAGCCGCCTGCTTGAGGGGAGGGCCTGGAACAGACTGTGTGCAGGATGAGTGGAGCCCTTCATGATGCGGAGCGCCCTCCCCCTGCATCGTGATGTGTAGAGGTCCGAGGTGGTGGAAGGCTGCTCCCCACAATCTTCTGTGCAGCCTTAACCACCTTCTGCAGAGCCATCCTCTCAGCAGCAGTGCAGCTGCCGTGCTACACAGTGATGCAGGTGCAGAGAACATTCTCTCCACCACACAGCGATAGAAACTCATCAGGACAGAACTCCCAAACCTAGCTCTCTGCAGCTTCCTGAGGAAGTAGAGATGCTGGTGGGCCTTCTTGACCAGACAGGAAGTGTTGGCTTTCCAGTTGAGGTCACTGGATATATGCACCCCCAGATACCTGTAGCAGGAAACCACCTCCACAGCTGCTCCTCTGATGTGGGGGGTGAAGAGGATTCTTGTCTCTTCTGAAATCCACCACCATCTCCTTGGTCTTCTTCACACTGATGGAGAGATTATTGTCTCTGCACCACTCACCAGGTGTTCCACCTCCTTGAACGCATCATTGTTCATGATGTGTCCCACTACTGCTGTGTCGTCTGCAAACTTCACCATGCAGCAGCTGGGGTGTCTATCCAAGCAGTCATATGTCAGCAAAGTGAACAGGAGGGGGCTCAGCACGCAGCCCTGGGGCGAGCCAGTGCTGAGGGTGATGGAGGAGGAGACGATGTTGTGGATCCTGACAGTCTGAAGTCTGTTGGTCAGGAAGTCCAGAATCCAGTTCCCCAGTGTGTGACTCAGTCCAAGAAAGGAGACCTTCTGCACCAGGGTCTGTGATGGTGTTGAAGGCCAAGGAGAAATCTAGAAAGAGCATACGGATGTAAGAATTTCTGCTCTCCAGGTGGGTGAGGACTGTGTGTAGGTAAAAACGATATCTTTTTTTTTCATTGACCCTTTATTTATACAGGTAGTCTCATTGAGCCACGATAACTCATTTTCAAGAGAGACCTGTTTAGGGAGCACATGGTGGGGGTTAAGGGCCTTGCTCATGGGCCCAGAGTGGGATGAACGAGGGTGGGAGCAGGTGTGGGTGCTTCACCTACCCTACCCACATTTTTGATGTTGTCGGTACTGGGGCTTGAACCGTCAGTCTTCCGATCACAAGCCCACCTTCTCAAGAGGTGTCCGTAAAAATAAAAAAATTCTAAAATACATTTCAACATTTTTCAGTCAGGTCATCTGGACAGTTTCTTTTTTTGTGCTGAAACGTTTTGCCTTCGATCCAGAAGGCTTCATCAGTCAAGGAAACACACAACAAAACCGATTCTTCCCCAAACAGCTTACTCCAAAGTGGAACAAACCAGTTCTGCTTGTGATAAGATGGTCTTTTCATTGTTTTCAACCAGTTTGACAAGACTGTCAACAAGGAAGATGCGTACCAAAGAAACCATCTTATCACAAGCAGAACTGGTTTGTTCCACTTTGGAGTCAGCTGTTGGGGGAAGAATCAGTTTTGTTGTGTGTTTCCTTGAGTGATGAAGCCTTCTGGATCGAAGGCGAAACGTTTCAGCACAAAAAAAGAAACTGTCCAGATGACCTGACTGAAAAATGTTGGATATTATACCTGGATTATTGAGCATGGACTTTATTCTAAAACACATTCTGTGAAAATGCAAGTCATTTTCTAAACATGCGAGTCTTTGGTATATTTTTGAGATGCATGGTGATCACAACTGCATCACTTAAATGCAAATTCAACGTGTATATAGATTTTTAAATTATCTTTATTGTTATGATTTTATGCATTTGTTTTAAATATTTCCTAACAAGAGACTTGTAATGTCTTGATGTTTGTGTCAGATATTCATAAATCAATTCCAACACCCATATCAGAAAAGAACTCATGCTTCTGCAAAAATGTAACAACAAATGTTTCAAAACTGCGTCTGTGCAGATTTAATTAAATATCTTCTGTTTTCCAGTGAAGTGGAAGCTGTTGAGTGGAAAGATGTTGGGTGAGCGGAGCAGGCAGATGGAGAAGTTCAGGAGGTCAGCTCGAGGCTTGTGTGGCAGACTGAAAGGTGCCCATTAAGACCCCCTCAGTGTGTACCCCCTCAGCAGGTCAACCTCAAAGACTGCAGACGGCAGGTTAACCCTTGCGATGGGCACCGTGTCCGGAGGTAAGTCTGGTGGAACCCTTTCAAACTTCAACACAGGTTCTAACATTCCAGGGGTGGGGGACATCCTCCCACTACTCTACTAAGAATGGACAGTTTTGTTGGGATGCTAGGAGCTGTCCCTTAAGGGGAGGGTAATGTCACAATTTTGAGGTATTTGAAGTTTTGTTGGGCAGCACGGTGGCGCAACTGGTAGAGCTGCTGCCTCTCAGCGAGCAGGTCCTTGGTTCAAACCCCGGTCCAGGGGCCTTTCTGGGTGGAGTTTGCATGTTCTCTCCGTGCATGCGTGGGTTTTCTCCGGGTACTCCGGTTTCCTCCCACAGTCCAAAAACATGCATGTTAGGCTGATTGGTAACTCTAAATTGTTCCTAGGTGTGAGTGAGAGAGTGAATGTTTGTTTGTCTCGTTTGTCTCTATGTGGCCCTGTGATGGACTTGCAACCTGTCCAGGGTGTACCCCGCCCCTCGCACAGTGATTGCTGGACATGGGCACCAGTGACCCCCGTGACCCAAAATGGAATAAGCGGGTAAAGAAAATGGATAGATGGATGGATGAAGTTTTGTTGTTGGTTAGTTTGCTTTTGCTCAGTTTTAAACTTGTTTTAAACTTCCTGTTTTAGTTAGTTGTATTATTTCCTTTGTACAAAAATGCTTGCTTTTGTTTCCTGGTGGATTTTTACATCCATGTTCCATTTGTTCATTATCTGTGTTTGTACTTTAGACCCATGTTTTTGTCAGTTTCATTAAATTTTGTTTGTGATTTCATGCCTGGTTCCGTTTGTGGGTTGCACCTTTCTGTTTATAAAAAAAACAAGTTTTTTGTTTTGCTGACCGACTTCAGCTTTGCAACTCTACATTTATTTGAGCTGCATCTTACATTTAGAGGCACTTTTTCCAATTATAATACTGACCTCCTCCGGCTGCAATGCTATTAATGGAGGAGTAAACATTCCCCTTTTTTTCTCCTCAAACTAGTGTTGTAGTACTCAAGACCGGTCTTGGTCTTAAGACCGGTCTCAAGACCACTTTTGATAGTCTTGTCTCGGACTCAACCGCATTTGGTCTCGGACTTGTTTCGGTCTCGAACATTGAGGACTCGGGATTTTATTTCAAGACCAGTCAAGACCACAACTGTGGAAATATCACTAAATTGCCAGAACATTGTCCAGTTTATTTGTTAACATCTTTGTTTTTATTGGCTGCAAAACGTACTGATTTATATCCAAGCAATAACGTGACTCATTGCTAAATACATGTTTTTGTTACTGCTGTCACGCCCACCCCCATTCGCTCACACATGGTTCTGTACCAACAGAACAATACAGACAACAGAACGTAACATTGCATCCAGGGGTGAAAGTAAGCCGGTATGGTCTGGTATTAGATAATATATTTGCTATAATCAGTCTAAAACACGACAATCAGTTAATAAATAGCTTTTATTTTTAATTTCAAATTGTTTCTGCACTGTTCGTGCTGGAGCCTCGTTTCTCGGTGAAGTTAGTTTTATGTTGGACGTTGGACATTCGAGCTCTGTGGCTTCAGCGGTGTGTTCCTCTCGTTCGATACGAAGCAGGCAGTCTGATTTCAGTCAACTGCGATCAGTCTGCCCCTCCTCTGAGACGTATAATGGTTCGCTTAGGGATTGTCAACAAGTTACTGAACCAAACACTCTTCAGAAACAAAAATTTATATATTTTACATCATTTGACCCATTGACACAAAACTAATGTTAAACTACTTTAATAGACCTGACACACAAGACGCCATTATTTATTTCTCATTTTAAAGCATTTTATAATTAACTATTGAACAAAAACCATGATTTTTAAACAAATAAACTATGTAGAATTAGAAAATGCTTTAAAATGAGAACAAAATGAGGGTGTCTCATCTGTCAGGTCTAGTAGAGAAGTTTAACATAAGTTTTGTGTCAGTGGGTCACATGACATGAAAATTATTGTGCAAAAACCACTGAATGTCTGATTTCTTTATGTAGCTTTGAAATCTTATGAAAGCTGATACATTCATTCAAAAGCAAATTTAAAGTTGCAGTATGTAACTTTTATAAAAAATATTTTTATAAAAGTTACATATGTTTTTTACACATTTGTTAAAATTGTCACTATGTCGTGATGTGAAAAGATTGAGCTTCAAGACTTGAGATATTGTTCCCGACTTGGTCTCGCCCTCCCTCGGTCTTGGTCTTGACTTGGTCTCGGACCCCAAAAGTCTTGGTCTTGTTGCACCCTGAGTCTGGTCTTGGTCTTGACTTGGTCTCGGGTTAGGTGGTCTTGACTACAACACTGCTGCAGACATATAAAACCCATTAAGTAACATTTTGATCTACTTCTCAGTAACATCAGGCACTCTTTGTTCCTGAAGCACTGATTTGGTTTTAGTCCATGACTGCACTGAAATAGAAGTTCTCAAAAAGTGGTACCAATGGTTTACGAGCAGACGTTTACAGGCTAAATCCACCCTGCTTTTACAGCCAACAATATTTATCAGCTCAACACAAGCCCTCACTTTTATGGCCTCCTGTGACCTTTGCCTCTTTCATCGTGCGAGATTTCCTCAGCAACTGCTTAAAAAATAGTTCCCAGAAGAAATCACGCTGTTCGAAACAGGCTAAATCTAAGCTGAATGTATTTAAATGTTTATTTTTCATTGAACTGCGACTAACAACTTGATTTTTGTGCTGTTTTGGAACAAATATCTTGAAAATATAGAGATGTTTATTCACACACTCATACAAACATAACTACAGAACTGGAGACAATATGAAATAAACTCTTGAAACTATTAAGTCATTGATGTGGATCAAGTTTTTATGAATCTCTTTAGGTCTGGTATCATTTCAGAGGTGTGGGAGGTTTTTACTCTGAGTCGTGCTGTCACTTGACAGTTGTTCATTAACCCATCGAAGACAGGTAGAGCAGTCTGTATCAAGGTGGACGAGAAAGAACTGATGTTAAAGTGGAGATGAAAGAACAAGACGCTTGACAGATTTGTTTCTTTTTAATTTTTAATCCTTTTGCAACCTGTTTGGAGTCAAGATCTTAAAAAAAGCTTGGTTTGTGCTCATATTTGGACGCTGGATGGTAAATCAAGACAAGGTTTAACTTCTGCTTAGTTACTCAGGAGCTCTGATCACTTCTGTTTTTGCCGTCAATGAAGAGGATCTGCTCTGGAGGGCAAATATAAAACCTGCTTCCTGCCGTTACATCATTGAGATGTAGAAAGAGGAGAAAACAGATTTCAGACGTATAAAGGGAAAACTCCAGGATCGGGAATGAACGGCTGGCACAGTTTACTCTACCTGGGAGTGCTGGCAACGGTGGCGATTAGCAACAAAATGCTGGATGAGTGTTTGAAATCTAACCGTAAGTACACCATGAATGTTGTTCTGCTGGAAGACAACACCTACGAATGGAGTCGACCGTTTGTGCAGAGAGCTGTGGAGCAAGCCATTGAAAAGGACAAGCAGGAAAACATCAACAATGGTATGAACAGGTGAACACGTCTGGATGGGCCTCGCACATAACAACACAAACCAACTAGTTTATAGGAATCAATGATCATTCAAAAACATGACAGCATCTCACAACCTCCCAGTAGATGAAGTTACGGCCCGACTCTCAGTCCAAAACAGCAACAGTAGAGTCTTCAGATGATCTCCAGAATATAAATTGAACCTTTAAATGGCTGCTAATAGTACGTTTTGGCATAATTGTTGCAAGAAATTACAATAGTGATAATAATGGATAAAATATTTGAAATAGTTGTTGGACCTGGTTGTTGAATGACAATATTTTTAGATTTCAGCTAGTGACAGTTGTGAGTTCACAAAACTAAGATGAAAAATTATTTGGGTTGAAAGGTAAAGGCTGTAGAGTGCATGTCTGATCCCATCTGATGCCAGATCTAACTGGTCTTCGGGCTCTGACGAGGCTGGCATCCTTATGTCTCTGAACAGCTCTATGAACTTTACACATTATTTTAAGGCAGACATATTCTGTCATTTAATGGTCTAATTCCTGGAATTGTCAGGTAGATACTTTTTACAAAATGGATTCATAAAAATCAACCAGGGTCTTCCAGTCTATTTTCACGCTTCTGCCATGACAAAATGGTGGCAGCTGTGGAACTGAACTCGTGACCATGGCGTTGTTTGCACCAGTGGTGATTTTAGCCTTTTTATGAGGGTGTTCAAGCACCCCTAAATTTAACTCAGCACCCCTGAAAAATAAGTTAAAAAAATATATATATTTTTCCTTTCTTTTTTTTTTTTGCGGTTCTAGGTTTGGGTTCTATTTATTGCATTTATGATTCAATGCAACAAAATAAGCTAATTTAAAAAGTAACAGACCATTGTAATACTTGGTTTATTTACATAATGACTTTATCTGCTGGATGTCCGGCCCCTGAGCTGCTGGCTTTCAGTAAATGTGGCCCCCTGAGCAGTTGAATAGTCCTGCTTTAGAGGGTGGAATATAGTTTATTCCTTTTCCAAAACCTAAACTGAGTCTGAAAAAATGTAAAAGATGATAAAGCCCTGTGACCGACCTCATGAGCAGCTGAATACAACAGTGATACAGGAAGTACCACATGTTCATGTGTACGAAGTTAACTAGTGTGTTTGTTCCTTCGGAAGTCCACGACCATCTTCTTTGGCTTTTTCTTAAGCACCCATAAAGTTCAGATTCTAGATTCACCCCTGGTTTGCACCAAAGAAGAATTAGGATTTAAGTTACAAACTGTGGGCAGCACGGTGGCGCAACTGGTAGAGCTGCTGCCTCTCAG